ACGTTGACTTGAATTCTCCCTCAAGTACCTGATGTAATCAGACTCTCCCATGCCTCAGAATGAACCTAACGCCTAACGGCATCAACAACTCAGAACATTCACCAAGTCAACAGTGTTGGAACTTTTCATGTGGAACCGTCTTCGTGAACATAGCAGCAAAACTATCAGTAGTATGCACTTTCTTCACCTTAATCCTTCTCTTTGTTCTCAAGAAATGAAACACTACATCTATGCTTAGTCCTCTCATTGATGGAATTGATCCTTAGCCAACCATATTACACTCAAGCTGTCACAATAAACCACAACTTGATCATGATGTAAACCCATATCACTAACCAACCCCTTAAACCATATTCCCTCCTTAGAAGTTTTTGTCAACCCCTTAAACCATGTTACACTCAATGCCATGTACCATGCTTCACTAGTAGACAAAGTAATAAATGTAGGCTTCAAAATTTCCTTCCAACTAACAGATAACCTCCAAGAGTGAATACATAACCACTCATAGATCTCCTTGTGTTAACATATCCAACACAATAAGAATCTTAATAATCAATCAGTAAGCACTTCATATCACTTCCACAAAAATCTCACATTATATGCACATTTAAGGTACAGTAAAAATCCTCTTTCAGCTTGCCAATATCCCTTGCCAGGTTGCACCATGAACTTGCTGACAAAGCGTGTGCAAGATCAGGTCTAGTACAGACGATTGCATACATTAAGCTACCAACTCCACTAGAATACGAAACTCGAGATATGTACTACTTCACTTTAGATGGAGGTGCATACTGCATAGATAGAAAATAGATTAATATTGAAGCACTTGGAGTATTTAAGAGCTCTGCTGATAATATGTCAAACCTAGACAATACCTTATGCATGTAGCTTTTCCATGGGAGGTACTTGTCTCTCACATCTATAGGAATGCAATAAGACTGCAGATTATCTTGCTAACAAAGCCACATTTACTTAATTTAAGTATTCATGTAATTGATATTTTGGATTCAAAATTCAACTTTTGGATTATGTATCAATTATCATATTATATTATGAGCATTGCCCAGAATTGTTTAACTGAAGTGTCAAGCAGGACATCTCACTTTTAACCCAAAAAAACAATAATGTGTAATTGTGTTGTTGTTTATTAATTAACTAATGCCATTGTGTCAGTAATTAATTAAGCAAGCAAGCTCCTGGAAGTTGCTCAGAAAGAAATCAGCAGTAGTCCAGCAATGATCATTAATTCTGCAATTGCATGTGCCTTGAAATCATAAGCCCTTAATTGGAGTTCATTTTCTTCTTTCTATGCACAAACAAACACCATATATAACCCAACCTCCAACTCCAAGGGAGAAGTTAGAGGGTAGAATTAAATATGGATTAATCTTTCTTTAAATGGACTAATTAACTACTATTTTAATTACCCTCCAAATTTATATTTATCTATTTGTTGAATTTTATGTAAGATATTAGTATTCCAAACGCTAATATCAATGTAAAAGATCGACAAATTAAATAAATTTCACTATTAATTATGTGAATTTCATGACTCATTTGGTCTAGAGAATGTGGAAAAACACAGTGCCAAATGCTGCTTTGTTTATTTTGAAAATAAAAGGGTCAACTGTTGAATTAATGATCCGCACGTGTGACTGATTTACATGAAAGCAAGCTTAATTATTTTATTAATATTACTATTAAATAACAATTAACTAATCGTTAATCCCTAGATTAAGAAGCATAATAATAATGCTCTAGATTTCAGGTCAAAATGCCCCTTCTCCCAAGGCACAGTTCCTTCGATGCGGGTTGACAAACTACCAAGTTGAAAGGAAACAAATATATGTAAAATAAAACATAACTGTTAATTAACTATTATATCTAATTTCAGAGAGGTCCTTTCACTTAGATTTTTTTTCCTTCTTATTTTCAGTCTTTGGGTGGAAATGGATCGGACACACTAAAATTTGGTATCAATTATAGTAAAACAAAGTAACATTATCACTAAACAGTATTACGTGAACAAATAGGCTTCAATTAATGTTCCTTCATATTCCAACCACACAAAAGAAATAATGATGATTAATAATGGGTTAGTAGAATTGTGATTTATAATAATTATATATTAATTGGTGATAGCGAATACGACAAAGAAATTAGGTTATAGTATATGCAGTGGAAATTAGGTGGGTTCCTTGGAGCTCAAACACACCACAAAGCACCAAAAATACAAATTATTAGCAATACACCCAATCTATGTATATGCTAGATTAGCATGATGGCTATCAATAATACACCATTGTAATTTCTTAAATAGAAAACGAAATATTTCCCATATGTATATTTTGTGGCCCTTGATAAGTTATATAACATGGTAGACATGGGTTGGGTGAGATGGATGCTTCACTCACTCGAAATCAAGCATCTAGAGAATCATTATCAGATAGATATAAGATGAACGTAAATACAATACCAGACCCATTGGTGTTTTGATAGCGAATAATTTTAAGGTGTCAACAAATGGTAAGCAGCTCCCACACCCAGATATGAATTATTAGTATTAAGTGTTAACACCGATGCCGTTGTATACTTTCTATCCATGCGGCTCGACCTATGCGCGGGAGACAATATCGACAGAGGGGAAGACAACCAATTTATCAAGTCTTTCGTCAAGGTCAATCTTGAAGATGAAATCAGATCGTCTACACAATATCGAATGTTCACATCCAACCTTTATATACATAATCACCTGATGTGACGAATATTGGCATTTAAGGACTTTTACGATTGATTACATAAGTTATCAGTAACTGTACGGGGCATGGTGTACCACTAGGCCAACAAGTTATTTCAGAGTCTCGAGTTACTCTTATTGACTAGATTTTGTGGTTTGTGTTTAATTATCGTCAGATCTCCATAATTAATAATAGAGGTTTGGTCACATACTTTTTTGTGCTCTTGTGAAACAAAACAAAAAAAAACTAATATATAAATTAGCTAGTAGATTTAGATAATTTGGTAGATGGCTCATGAAATCCTAACTACCGTATCGGAAACAAGAAAATAAAAGCTCAATTTGTTTTCAAATAAATAATAAAATAATTACTAGGTCGGGAAAATATCCCAACGACCCAATTAAATCGATACTAGAGTCTAGAGGCATCTCATCGCACTTGATTTTTTTATAAAATCAATAAATTTTATTTTTATGTTGGACCAGATTGAAAAGATTGAATTAAATACAATTAATAATAGAGATGTGTTATTATTATTATTGTGAGACCCAGGACAAAATAAAAAAAAAATATTTTATAGAAATGATTTCGCTCAACATGGGTTTGACGAAAAAACAAAAATATATTAATATTCAAATTATCTACAATAATTTGTCCGCAGGTTCATTTGAGGGTAAATGAAATATGGATCTATTATAAGCAATATTGATCTACAAAATCCTAATTTGATTTGGATTTTGGATCATGAAATATTCATTAGTACACATGCAGAGGTAGTTGAAATGCCAACTTAAAATAGTAATTATGAAACGAGATCCAATCCACTGATGGTGAATTGGTGATTCGCCAGCTTCAGATCAGACAGCAACCAAAGGATTTTTTCACATCTAACTATCTAACTGCTGATCGTGTATATAAATAGTGTATTTAAATAATTTTTATTTTAACGAGAGTGATTAGTCTTTTCTATTTTAAAATGAAATACGATAGGTACATTAATTTGATTGTCGATATGACATTTGAAATCACTCAATATAGTCAAATTGAATGACTATATATATTCTCAAGTCTCAACATAAAAAATGATATTTTCTTCTAAACATGACTTATCCCGTTCATTCCTAAAACTAAAGTCAGAACCACCAACACATTGTAATATAATTAAAACGAAATCACCTAAACAATACGTAAATTTATCATATGCATCGACAAAATTGAAAATACACATGAATAATTGTAACAATAGGCAAGTATCAAGCTGCCTTTGATTTTAGGATTCAACTATGCCCCTCATTTGCTAATGATTTTAGGATTCGACTGTCCCTTGTTATCTTTGATTCAGTTATATGTTTGGGGTTTTACTGATTTTCATTGTAATGAGTTTCTTCCTTCTTTTATGAAAAGAAATAAACCCCACCTACAGCAAAGGACAAAAAGAGATTATTCCAGATCATTTAGGTCAAAACAAAAAAACACCCAACCTATGTGATGACAATGAGGCGAGACGGATACCTCTATACTCATACTCGTCACGTACCAGCGCGGGCTAGGTTAGGTAATAGTCGGGTCGGTCAGGTTGTGACAGCTCGACTCATTCTTACATATTGTTTGAAGAAAACGTTCATTTTAGTGATAAAATAAAGAAAAAAAAACATAGATAATAAATAGGTTAATCAAGTCCAATTAGTTGAAAGATGAAGTCTATCATTAGGTGATCTCAATATGATACATTGGGCGGGGAAGAAAGGAGATAACAATTCAAGAACGAGTTGAGATAAGTCAAAATAGGATAAATAAAACTATATATTCAAACAAATCGAGAAATGACCGATCAAGAACGTGACGGGGCATGTCGGAAGTAGTACCCATGTTATACTCACGCAGCAGCGGATCCAGGGCATAGTAGTAGATCCCACTGTGCCGCATTTGAATAGAAATTTAGATACAATACCAATTAGCACTAGGTTGAAAGAGGCGGAGAGCGCTGAAAGCAAACAGCAGGTCTCGTTTGCTATACTAACTCCGACCCCCAAAAGAGGGTTGGGTCATGGCCTGGATGGCCACCCCTAGATCCGACCCATGTACCAAATATACTTCCGATCGAGTATAATTACCCGCCCAATACAAATCAGATCGGGTAATATCGAACAAATTGGGTTCAAATTCCCATTGGTGCATAGAAGGGAGGAATCATGTTGACTAGGCAGAATTTGATCAGACAAAAACATTTCTATTTTGGAAGTTTCCTTTTTAGCTGTTTATGAGGCCATGGAATATTTACTGTTATGTGTTGGTATATTACTAAATTCTTTAATTACAAATCAAAGAATGGAACATAGGATCAAAATAATCAATAATGGAGCATTATTATTTATATAACATGGGTGCCGTTTCCTTGTGTAAGTATATTCTTCCTCCTTGTTTCCGAATCATGGTACGTGGCCAACTGCATCTTGCCAGTATGAGAGACAAATTGCCTCTTTCCGACCACAACAAAATCTGGACGATACATCCTTAATTAATAATAATAATGGTAATTAATAATAATAAGTATGCGTATGTGTAAAGTGGCAGCAACAGTCCAATGTATTACCCCTTGATTAATCAACGATTAGTCTATAATTAAGAAGCTAGCTAGCTAGATCTATTTAGGGATGGGATTAGGTGCTAACCCTTATAGGGGTTAGCACCGTGATAACTAGCAAAAATCACTACGGATTATTATAAAATCAATACAACATCTAAGCTAAATCACTACTAATTCAAACTAGTAGTAGTTTTCCCTTGGTTAGGACGGTGCTAACTATTGTACAATTAGCACCGTAGTCGTTCCCATCTATTTATTATCTCTGTATATTATATTGTCTCTGTTTAGTTGCCAATCATTCTATTGTCATTTTTACTATGGATGTTCTCCAAATTCAACAAGCAAGCAATCCGTAAAAGTTATACCGTTGTTGTTTACGCACTGATGGTGACACGAAAAGAAAATTGCCCACATCGCCAAACAAACAGAAAGGGCGGGGGAGGGGAAACTCAACAAGGTTGTAATGACGAAATTATAATCAGCGCGATCGAAATACGAAAGGAGACTCATTAAATAAAGTATCGATCCAAATCTAATGGTCGTATCCCATCAAGAGTCCATTATATTAAATGACTAACACTTTTTAGAATCACTTGATAAAGATCTCCTATTCGAATCCATGTCGAGTTTCACCTATACTTTTCTTAACCATTCCCCCCTTAATCATTAACATAAGGAGGGAAGGTAGGAAGGGCTTTAATTGCTACCCACTAGCTTTGGTTTTGTTAATTAAAGTTAGCTTGTTGACCATTTTCAATGGCTATTTAATTGTTAAGATGCTTGGTATATTGGCAGGGTGTTAGGATTGCATTTAGTATTACAAAAAAATCCAACATATTTTATTTTAAGATCACAATATTATTGCCATGGGAAATAATTGCTTTCTATAAAATATTAATAATTTTGTCCTTGTTTTCTTTTCTTTGACAAAATTTGTTTTTTCTCTTGACAACTTGCTGCTGCACACAACTTGAGTGACACCAATGAGCTAAAAACATGTCCAGTTGATTAGAACAGCAAAATACAGGCATCTAGGCCAGAGGAGAGCCATTATACCACAAGTTTTCATATATATAAATTAAAAAAGAACCATTTACAATAACACAAATTATTTTGGTCATGGGTTAATAAATGCTAATTACCTCGAGTTAGAGTAGGGTCCACCGATAAAACACGAAATTATTCGAGTATTTTTCTACTGACTTTCATTCAGTCAAGTCAACAGTTAATTATCTTTAAAAGAGTACTGCTATTACGGTGGTATAAGAGTGCTATTCAATATCGCAATCCTCCTCCTTCTCCTCGACTTATAGTAAGTTAGTAACTAAATTCTTTGACGACTGAATTCGAAACTAAGGTTATAAATGACGCACAGTAATATTTCGTGGGAATGCTTAAACAAAATTAATTAGCAGCATCAACAGTAATTTGTTGCCCCTAAACACCCAACTTGAGAAGTAAGGGAAGTATCTTTCTTTTTTCAGCTCTGCAAAAAAGGGCTCTCTTTTTTCTTTTTCCCTAGATTAAAATACAACATTTCTCCCATCACACAAAAAGGGGGAAAATGAAAAAACAAAAAACAAAAAAAAAACACACCGAGAAAAAGGTTTAATTATGAAGTATAACAGTAATTAACTAACTAACCAGTATTACTAATTAAGTAACACTAGTAATGCTGCCACAACGAGTTTCCAAAACCACCGCCGCCGCTGCCGCCGCCTGTCGTCTCCGCCATTAAAGACAGTATTTCGTCGCTAAAGTACCCTCCACCTCCCACGCCGCCGGCGCCGCCGCCGTAGTCATCGCTGCTCCACGTCCGATCATACAGCCAGGAGTCCCCGTGCCACACAAACTCGTCCACCAATTCCGCCGCCGCCGCCGCCGACTCCGATCCCAACCTCGGCAGCTCCACGATCTCGCAGAGCTCCTCCTCCGCCGCCTCCCCGTCTCCGCCGCTCGACGACGGCGCGGAGGAGACCTCCGCCGCCGACGACGAGGAATACGAGAGAAGCGAGGAGGCGGAAGACGACGACGTCTCGGCGCCGAAGCTCATGGCGGCGGCCTTGACGGCGGCTGCCTGGACGTCGCGCGGGCAGTTGGATGCCGGCCTCGGGAGGGAGCCGGCGAGTTCGGGGAAGTTCAGGATGGCGGCGGCGGCCCCCTTGATGCTGAGCGCGGCGACGTCGTGCGCACGCGCCGCCATCTCCGCGGTGGCGAAGGTCCCCAGCCAGATCCGGCTCTTCTTCCTCGGCTGCCGGATCTCGGAGACCCACTTCCCCCACGTCCGCATTCTCACCCCTCTGTACACCGGGTGCTTCTCCCCGCTTTTTCCGCCGCCGCCGCCTTCCTCTCTCCCTCGCTTCAGCTTATTGACCCGCTCGACGTTATTGGTTTCCGGTTCCGGGCCGGGTTTACCCCGGTTCGACCCGGACGAGGAAGGAGTGGCCGGGTTGGTGACGATGCTGGCCGTGGAGGAGCTTGAGCATGGTGAATCGGCTGCCACGTTCCCCATTTTTTTTTTCTTTCGACCCTCCTTTTGGTTTAAGGGCAGTGTCCTACTCTGTGAAGGACAGTGAGTCGTAAAGGTGGAGAGGGAGAGAAATGAGAGTGAAAAGTTGAGTAATGAGAGAGAGAGGGAGAGTGTATTTATAGAGGGAGGAAGGGGGAGGGGGAAATTGAGACGTGGGAGGGAGGGTCCTGGAATGGGAGGGCGATGTGTCCTACAAATTGGAGTTGCCAGCTGGCACGAGCCCATTAGTCTTTCCTACCGTGTGAGCGAGTGAGTGAGTGAGTGTACTCTTACCGTCACCGTGTGCTTAGTGTGTTGTTAAACACTCACTAGATTAGACTAGGCCTGGCAATTCGGTTATTAATTGCCTATTTCGGTTATAACCGGTAATCGATTAGTCGGTTATCGGTTAACCGAAATAAACACTATCCTTATTGAAAACCGATCGAAATAGAATTTTGTTTTTCGGTTACCTCGGTTATCGGTTAACCGAACCACTTTTAAGACCAAAAAATCATTTTGGCCAGCTTCCGATAACCGACCGAAGTTCGGTTACTTTGGTTATCGGTTAGTGGATAATCGTTTGGTTATCGGTTTAACCAGTCGGTTAACCGGTAACCGAACTGCCACCCCTAGATTAGAGTATGCCTGCTGTATTGATTAGATGGTGTCTTTTTTTTTTCCGGGATTGGAATATGGTATCGGAGGCTGTACCGCGGAAAAGTTAGCGGTAGGGATATTTCATACTGAAATCGTGCTTCAATTATGGTTCAACTGTTTCGAGCAGTTAAATACCGTCTGCTGTCGGTATGGTACGGTTCGTTTTTTTTTTTTAATACTTGATTTTTTTTATCGAGAGCAGTTAAATACGATTTGCTAAATAATAAAATTATTATATAAGTTGTCCCTCTCCTGTTTAATTTCTCTCTATTTATGACTTTATGGTTGTCTTCTGAAAGTGGTAAAAGGCAGAGGGGAATGGTGGACGTGTCTTTTGCGGGTTTTATCCAAATCCATGAAGTCAGTCGGTATCTTAATTATTATTCACCTCCCCATGTTGACAGATAATTCTTACAGCGGCAGTAAATTTCGATATAGATTATGACAGATTTTTTTTTTTTTTTTACCACAGCTTCCCGTCTCTGGTATAGCCTGGTTTTAGTACTGCTTCAGGCCTGCTGCATAATTATATATTCAATAATGATAATTATTATTATTTATTACAACTATGACTACAGAATTAATTACGTAGATATAGGTATATTATTATTAAATATGTGTGTATTTGTGTGCAGCATTTAATATTTCTACTTACACATTGATTCTTGTTTTCTTCATTAATACTCCTTTCCCCCCTACAGCAATGACTCATTTGCCCTACTCTCTGCTGAACTCCTTTGTATCCTTTTTGCTAGTGTTGTTGACAAATAAATTCTGCTATTGCTTTTATTTCACCTACAAAGATCATTTATTTTTTTACCTTTTTGGTGTAGATTAGGCATATCTTACCGAGCCCTATAGTTGGTTTAGAACCTAGTTAACGAAAAGTTTCACCACGTTAGAAGACCATTTTTTTTTTGGTATGGTGCTCTAGAAATTCAGAGTGTACTGTACCAAGAAGAAGGCGCGGTTTGGTGTCGATCGTAGATTTTCACGTAGCTAGCCACCCTTAAAGGGTTTGATCATGTATCAGTCACGAGTTTTTTATTTTGTAAGTAGGTTTGGTGTTTGTAGGTGGTGTGCTCCTTTTTTTAAATCGTCGTCTGTAGCCTTTTTATGTAAACTTTTGGAGGTTTTAACCTACGGTTGGTGAATGTGTAATTTCTGTACTCGATTTGTGAATTTCTTTCGTAACAAGGTTAACCAAAAACCAGTTTCATTTGTGAGATTCTAGTATAGAAACAATTAATGGGGGTGAGAATCTAGGGTTAAGTTTGAGTTTGTTAAGTACATAATTAGTTAATGGGTGTGCTCTATGCCGACTGAGGCTGAGTAATTGAGTAATCAAGGATATAGAGGACACTGTTGGGTTAACCTTAAATTTAATTGCATTGTTGGACCGACCCGGACAGCAGAACAACCAAAGTTGGACTTTAATTAATGGGCCTACAGCACCCTGCATAATATTTAATTTCCAGCAAAATAAAAATGAATAAAAAAAAAAATAAAAGATGCCACACTCTTGGCTTTATTCAATGCATTGGATGATAATTTCCTCTCTTTTCCCCCCTACATAATATTACTTATTACAGAATAAGATTTGCTTGTATTTCAAGTATATATGATTTTTAAATTTGCTTTATAAAACTTCAAAAAGTTCATCCAATCACCATTTTAATAAAAAAAATATATAAAATGATAGAGTAGTTGTAATTCTAGGGCTTAATTGCAAATTTGGTCACTCGAATTGCTACAAAATTTCACATTTGCCACTCAAATTAATTTATTCCATTCATAGTCACTTAAATTAGATACCCAATCCAACTTTGGTCACTCTCCGTTAACCTCCGTCTGATTCCGTTAGTGTCGTCAGTTAACTGCTGACGTGGCTAACAGATGTGCTGAATCACCCAATTTTAACAAAAAAAAAAAAAAAAAAACATGCCACGTCATTAACCCCTTCATGTCATAAAACTAAACCCAAACCCAATCAACCCCTGACCCGACTCCGGTTATTGACATGTTCCCCCTCTCCTTCCCCTCTCTTCTTCCCCAACCCCTTCTCTGTCGCTCGACCTCAACCACTCCACCCAACCATCAAACCCCACCAGCAGTACGGCGACGAAATCTACCTTATCGCCGCCAACCAGCCCACTTTCCCCCTCCCGGAAGGAGGCCCCAAACAACTCCCCTTCGTCCCCATCACTCCCCCTTATCCCCGTTTTTGAAACTTCCCTTCCTTTCGTCGAGCCGCTCTCCCTCAATTGTCGCTGCCACCACCCAGCTCCAGCACAGCCCCCGGAGGAAAACCCAACTACGACGGAGAGAGCACGCCTTCTCTATTTAATCTGCCAATCCCTTTTCCAGATCTCTAGTTTATCGCCCCAATCCATCAATAATTGTGCTCCAGTTTATCCGGCAACCAATTGAATCTCTGGCAACCAATTGAATCATCAGATGCCTCCTGTGCGTTCTCCTGTAGATGCAACGAGGCTCATCTTTGTAGAGACCTCAGACCTCATCGGTTTCTGGGTTGGCCACGAACCCCATGTCGGCGACCCAACATAGGATGGAGGCTGGGATTTTGGAGGCGGAAGAAAAGGGGTTGGGGAAGAACACCAGCTCGATAACAGGGGAAGTATCTTGAAATTCTGGCGAAAGCACTGATTTCTTCGAGACCAGCTCCATCATGTGTTGGGCGAGGAAGAAATCGGCGGTCGGTTGATTCAGAAGAATGATGGGATTAAGATTATTCTTGGTGCGAAAGTAGCTTCAGATGGGTATGTTGTGTGTGGGGGTAGAGTCGTGTAAATGAGAAGGGGTTGGGGAAGAAGAGAAGGGAAGAAGAGGGGTAACGAGTCAATAATAGGGGTTGGGTCAGGGGTGATTGGGTTTAGATTGAGTTTTATGACATAGAGAGTTAATGATGTGGCATGTCTATTTTGTTTTTTTTTTTTAAATTGGGTGACTCAGCACCTCTGTTAGCCACATCAGCAGTTAACTGACGACACTAACGGAGTCTGACGGAGGTTAACGGAGAGTGACCAAAGTTGGACTGTGTACCTAATTCAAGTGACTATGAATGGAATAAATTAATTTGAGTGACAAACGTAAAATTTTCTAGCAATTCGAGTGACCAAACTTGCAATTAAGCCTAATTCTAGACTATATCATCATATAAGCAAATACCCAAGATTAAAAATTATAAAATTGATAATCAAAATCAAATTTCTGACTAGAGTACATAGTATACACCAAAAATAAAAAATCGTCCTAATACATTCAGGACTGCTGGTTCGATTTTTGATTTTTCTGTTTATTACCGTACCGATATGGTGCTCTCTTATCTGTTTTAGTATTGGTCCCTAACCGTTTTGGTTTTGGTTAAAATTGAAAAACTAATAAGAAACCAACTTTGTTTAATTCTTGCTCCTTGAAACAAAAACCAAACTTTTCATAGATTTTAATGATTTTCGATTAACCGAAACCATTTATAAACTCCTTAACTGTTCGATTTCATGAGAATGACTTGTTTTAATATTTCAATTTTCACATATAGACATTTGAAAAAAACAATTATTTTCCCCTCCCACACTCCCTGAAGTTAATATCTGAGATATGCTTCCATTCCATGTGTTGGGGGTATAATGAGCAAAGCCCAAGTGGGGGGCAAAGCCTAGGCAAACTTGGGCTCCCAAGCAGCCCAAGTGAGGGGCAAGGCCCAAGTAAAGGGAATGTCGCATGAAGACAAGGCACAAGAGGCCAAGGGAGGCCAGGCTGTCATGTGGTCCAGCGCCTGTGGGCGCCTGTCACGTGTCAGGAGTCTGACAAGGCGGTTAGGATGTCTGGCCAGAATGAGACAAGAGCATTGAATGAGGGCAGGGAGGCAGAGAGGATCAACCTCGAACTCAGGTAAGTATAAATAGAGGCAGTTGGTAGCATTTACGCAGGTTGGACACGGACACACAAACTTTAGCTTCGAGACTCCACTCTCTACCCAGAAACTAACTTGGGCGTCGGAGGATTAACGAGCCAAGGCGCCCCCTCTTTGTTAGTGTGTGCAGATAGGCGCCTGAGGAAGGAGGGTACAGGGAAATCAGGCAAAGGGTATCAAGTCTCAAACAATTGGCGCGCCAGATAGGGGAGTATAGCCAGGAGCCATGAGTGAAGAGGCGCCCATGATCGAAGAAAGGGAAGAAATTACGGAAGAACAGTCGGAGCGAATGAGAGGGCGGACGCCCGAAGAGGAAGAAGGTGAAGGAAGTGAAGGCACGTTGCGGGGATCCGAAGGCGCCTCAGTCACGAAAAAAGAACTGTTCCGGATCATTGAGAACCAAGATGAGGCAATCGAGGCGCTGCGGCGTGAGGTGGACGCCTTGAGAAGGGGTGAAGGGATGACACCCAGCCCGACGAAGAAAAGAGAAAGGGCGGAAGAAACAGAGATTGAATCGGGGTGCCCGAGGCGTCCCGGTCTGTGGCGCCCACGTGATCACGGGGCGCCGGACAATAGTGGATGGAATGGAGGAATATTGGGGCGCCTCTCACGCCACTGTCCTGTGAGGCAGCCTCTGGCGCGTAGCATATTATCGGAGCCAGCCGGAACCAACATTCCCCCACTCCCAGCTTATGACGGGACTGGAGATCCCGAGGACCACCTCAACGGATATTTCACCAAGATGCAACTCTATAACAGCACAGATGCCACCCTGTGCAAGGTGTTTCCATCCACCTTTTCGGGCGTGGTTCTCGATTGGTATCATCAGATCGGTGAGGGGCGCATCGACTGCTTCGAACAGTTCGCGGCAATGTTCTTGGCGAAGTTTGCCAGCAGAAAAAGGCGCTCCTTGACCATAGGCGCCTTGTTTAAAGTTAAGCAGAAAGAGGGAGAGGCGTTACGGGAATTTTACGAGAGATGGCTATCTGTGGCTCTAGCAGTGAAGGATGCCCAGCCGTCGGTACTGGGGGTGTGTCTTAATGAGTGCACCTCCAGTGAGGAGTTGTGCAGAGCGCTTGCGAAGAGAGATGTTGTGTCCACGGAAGACCTGGATTATAGGGTGCAAAAGGTAATTGTGCTGGAGGAGACATTGGCAGCCAGGAGGGCAGATCGAAGGAAGGCACGAGTAGAGGAGGTCGAGGCGCCGAGGAGGCAATACCCAACGAGCGGTTCGGGCTATGCGCCCACGAGCCAGCCACCGCCAAGGAGGAACGACATGGGGCGCCAGGCGCCTAGAGGGGCAGGGCCCTTCGCCGAGTATAACGACACCCTGAAGAATGTGCTCCAGCACGTCAAGGACAAGGGATACCACATCAGGTGGCCAGGGCCGATGCGGGGGCAACCCAACGAGCGGAACTTGGACCGGTACTGCGACTTCCACCGTGAGATTGGGCACTACACAGCTGATTGCTACCAACTCAAGACTGAGCTGCAGGGTCTTGCGGACAGGGGAATGCTCAACGACTTCATCAGAAAGCCCGAGGAAAGAGTGCATAGGGCGTGTGTGGCTGGAGTAGTGGGAACAGGGGAGGAGCTGCCGCCGCCACCCTATGACTTGGACCAAGAAAAGGCGCCTGACCGCGTGCGCCTGACGATCGAAGCCATTTCAGGGACAATGGATCTGAGGGAGAAAATAGAAGCAAAACGTCGGTTGAGGGCGGCATCGGCAGATGTGCAGGAGTCGATCGACATTAGCTTCAACAAGGCGCCTGAGGAGGCGTGTATGCTCCCGTCCATGGACGCCTTGGAGATACAAGGGGTAGTAGCCGGGTGCAGGGTAAGGAGAATGTTGGTGGATACAGGAAGCTCCATGGATGTGCTGTTCAAAGATACGGTGGTTCGCATGCAACTATCTCCAGAGATGATCAGACCATCGGAGTCGGTACTAGTGGGCTTTTCGGGGGCGCCTGCCAGAGTGATTGGGCGGGTATGCCTGCCCGTCACGTTGGGAGATGGAGATCAAAGGGTGACGCGCGCCATAGACTTTGGGATAGTGGACTGCCCTTCCCCATACAATGCGATCCTTGGGAGGCCGCTCCTGGCTTTGTTTAATGGGGTGGCCTCCACTTGTCATCAGACCTTGAAATTCATTGCCCCGCAAGGGGTAGGCGTGGCCCGAGGGCGAGGCGCTCCGCATTACGCAAAGGAGACAGGGCGCAAGCGAAGGCACGTCGATGCGAGAATCAATGTAATTGAGGTTGGAGAGGACGAGGCGCCCCGAGCCGAAGCAGCCGACGAGGACCTTTTGATAGCGTTGGAGGAAGGGCGCCTAGAAAGGTGTGTTAGGATCTCGGCAGAGGCGCCTGCTGAGATGAAGGAGCGGCTCATCGCGCTTCTAAAAGAGTTCGCAGAGCTTTTCGCTTGGAGTGCCATGGAAATGCCGGGCGTCAAACCCGAAACAGCAGTGCACAGATTAGCGGTTGAGGAAGGGAGACGTCCCGTGCAACAGAAGCGCAGGAACTTATCGCCGGAAAAAGAGGCAGCCCTAAGGGTTGAGGTGGACAAGCTTATGGGCGCCAATTTGGTGGAAGAAACCTCGTATGTTACCTGGCTGTCGAACGTGGTGTTCGTGCCCAAGCCGTCGGGCGACTGGAGGATGTGCGTGGATTACACGAGCCTCAACAAGGCGTGCCCAACGGACGCCTACCCAATGCCACGGATAGATTTGCTGGTGGACTCCACGGCATACCACGAGATGCTGAGCTTCGTGGACATGTTTTCAGGCTACCACCAAATCCCCATGGCAGAGGAAGATCGGCCCAAGACGGCGTTCATGACGCCTTTCGGAAATTTCTGCTATCGGGTCATGGCCTTTGGGCTCAAGAATGCGGGCGCCACATACCAAAGGATGGTCAACAACGTCTTCCAGCAGCAAATTGGCCGGAATGTGGAAGCTTACGTGGACGACCTCATAGTCAAGAGTCGGAAACGGGAAGACCACATTGGAGATTTGCGAGAGACATTCCAGGCCATGAGGGCGCACAGGCTCCGGCTAAACCCCCTCAAGTGTGTATTCGGCGCCGAAGCGGGAAAGTTTCTGGGATTTATGATAACCAAAAGAGGTATAGAGGCCAACCCGAAGCAAGTGGATGCGATCCTTAAGCTGACCCCCCCAAAGACGCCCAAGGAAGTGCAAGGCCTGGCGGGCAGGCTGGCAGCATTAGGGCGCTTCATCCCCCGGTCCGCGGACAGGGCCGCCCCTTTCTTTCGAACGCTGAAAAAGGCAGCCCGTTTCCAATGGACCGCCGAGTGTGATGGAGCATTCGAGGAGTTGAAGCAACTATTGAGCGCCCCAACCGTGATGACGGCGCCTAGGGCGGGAGAGCCACTATACCTGTACATTGCGGTGTCGGAGGTGTCGGTAAGTGCAGTGCTCGTCACAAGAGGCGCCCACTCTGGAGAGGACAGACCGGTGTACTACGTCAGTCGCACTATGGTCCCCCACGAAAGGCGATACGCGCCCATTGAGAAGGCCGCACTGGCGGTTGTGATGGCTGCAACCAAGCTTAGACCTTACTTCCAAGCTCACACCGTCACAGTCCTCACCAACCTCCCTCTGAAATCCACGTTGGGGTCAATGGATGTGGCTGGGCGCCTCGTCAAGTGGGCAGTCCAGCTAAGCGAGTTCGATGTCAGATATGCGCCTCGACCAGCCATCAAGGGCCAAGTCCTGGCCGACTTTGTAGCGGAGGGAATAGCCGAGACCGAGAAGGAGACAGATGATTGCTGGCAAGTCCAAGTCGATGGTGCGGCCAGCAGAACGGGCGCCGGAGCAGGAATTGTGATGATAAGCCCGGGAGGTGCGATGCACGAGGTAGCGCTGCGATTCGCCACCTTGAAAACAAACAACGCTGCAGAGTATGAGGCGGTGATCGCTGGCCTGACCATGGCTAAAGAGCTGGGCGCCCACAAAATCCAGGTCAAGTCCGACTCTGCCCCCGTCGTCAACCAACTTAACGGAGCATTCGAAGTAAAGGAGGAAGCGCTAGAAGTATACGTGCAAAGGGTCAGGGAGCTGGGCGCCTGGTTTGGGGAAATCTCTTTCATACACATCCCGCGTGAGGAAAACGCGCATGCCGACGCCCTATCCAAATTGGCCACCGCGGTAGAGTTTGCGGAGGATCGGAAGGTCATTGTCACTACGGAAGTGCCCCGCCAATATGTGGTCGCAATCTTGGGGGAAGAGGATGCCGGCTCAGGGTGGATGGCACCGATCATATTATTCTTGACCCAAGGAACGGTGCCGGAGGACCCAAAGGAGGCCTGGCGCCTCCGTCGAAAGGCGGCCCGCTGCTCCATGATCGAAGGGACGTTGTATAAGAGGTCCCATTCGGGCGCATATTTGAGGTGTCTAAACGAGGAGGAAAGCAGAGGGGCAATCGAAGAGGTGCACAGCGGTACGTGCGGAATGCACGCGGGGGCGCGCAGTTTGGAAAAAACGCTGCTGCGGCAAGGTTATTACTGGCCAACGATGAGGAGGGACGCAAGGGCACACGTGGGCGCCTGTCACCAGTGCCAAATTCATGCAAACGACATTCATGTCCCGGCGGCGCCCATGCAAGGCAATGTAGGGGCCTGGCCTTTCGCCCAATGGGGCATGGACCTATTAGGCCCTTTTCCCAAGGCGCCCGGGCAAATGAAATACTTGATCGTGGCAGTCGACTACTTTTCCAAATGGGTAGAAGCTGAGCCCTTGGCCACTGTTACAGAAGCGCAAGTGCGGAAGTTCACCAAGAAAAACATATTCACCCGGTTCGGCCTACCCGAGTCCATTGTCGCAGACCATGGGAAGCAATTCGATTGCAAGAAATTTGTTGAGTTTTGCGATGACAACGGGGTCGTCCTGCGGTTCTCCTCAGTGGCATACCCGCAGGCAAATGGCCAAGCGGAAGCAGCCAACAAGAGTATCCTTCACGGGTTGCACACCCGATTAGCAGGCGCCAAGGGCAGGTGGGTGGAGGAACTACCAAGTGTACTGTGGGCGCATCGCACAACCTACAAAACTGCCACGGGAGAAACACCCTTCGCCCTAACTTACGGAAGTGAGGCGGTAATCCCTGTGGAAGTCAACACCCCAAGCTACCGCGTTGGCCAGTATGACCCAAGCAGTAATGGCAAAGCAAGAATTGATGAGCTGGACATGACAGATGAGGTGAGGGAAGTAGCGGCCATCCGGCTGGAGAAAATGAAGCGCCAAGTGGCTCGGTACTACAACAAGAAAATGCGGGCGCATGGAATCACCGAGGGCGCCCTAGTTCTCAAGCGTGACTTCCGCCCAGACGCCCGTGAGGGGAAGTTAGCACCAAAATGGAAAGGGCCATACCGAGTTCGAGAGGTGGTGGGACCAAGTACGTTTAAGCTAGAGCATACCAACGGCAAAGGCGTGAAACGAACTTGGAATGCGCAGAACCTGCGGGTTTACCACGAGGGCGCCTCCGTTCGATAAGGGCCAAGAAGGAAAAGGAGGGCCGTGGGCAAGAGCATTGTAAGTGTTAGAGGCAGTTGTGTAAGGCGCCGTGTTGTGTTCAAAAGCGCTCGTAAAAGTAGCGCCGTGTCGTGTTCAAAAGCGCCCCTTGTTGCAGCGCTCGTTTGAAGAATTATGTTTTTAATTCCTATTTCTTAATCAGTAAAAGCGCCCTAATTTCGCGCCCGGAAATTTGGTGAAGTACAAAGCGCCCTATAAATTGCGCCCTATCGTAATATCGTCAGTTGGCATGTGAGTAAGTAAAGCGCCCAATTTTGCGCCCGTCAAAACCAAAGCGCCCTCTACTCTGCGCCCAACATCAGAATAATCAATGCGCCCACATTTGCGCCCTCGGGACATAGCGATCTGTGATAAAGGAAATTGGCCCCCAAAGTGTAAAAGCGCCCGCACTATTCGCGCCCAAACTCAACGCTAAAATAAACACAAGTATGGCCGCAACATCCAAGAAGAACATTTTTATTATTCAAAAAAAAAAAAAAAATATTACAAAGGAAGTCAAAACGCCCAGCTGCACTCACTCAGCGCCTGAGTTGGCGTCACCTGCGCTAGGCGCCTTCGGAGAAGGAGAGACAGGAACAGAGTCACCTTTAGGCTCCTCCACATTGGCTGATTGGGGCGCATTCCCCGTGTCCGGTGGAGTCTCCAACTCCCCAATCACATACTCGGCGATTTCAGTGAAATCCCAAGTAAGGTCAGGGTGATCCTTCACCAGTTTGCCGTGGAAGATCTGCAGGCCAGACAAGATAGCACTTGCACTCATGTTCCTCCCAGTCTCGGACTCCTCGAAGGTGTCCAGCGAGTGGCGCAAATTGGTAATCTCCTTCCGCGCCTCCTTCAGCTCCTTCTTGCACTCCTTGTAGGCGTCTTGCCATTTCTTCTTCTCCTCTTTGAGGGCGGCAATCTCGCTGGCCTGGGCGCCCGCCCCCTGTGCCAGCGCCTCCTTCTCAGCTGCAAGGGTGGCCGACTTATTGCGCTCCTCGTCGAGGGCGCCCTGAAGTTGCGACACTTGCAAGGCCGCATTCATTTGCGCCTCGTCGCACTCCTTCACAAGTTGTTCACGACGCTCCGTCGCGTTATCAAGGTCGCGCTGCAACTGGGAGGCCGAAGAGGAGGCTTCGAGCGCCTCTCTTTTTGTTTCATTTAGGCGCCGGGCGCCTCTTTCAGCAAAAAGAAGAATCTAACACACACGAAACACAAAGAGTTAGTACTTGTGCAAAATTTAACAAAACCCAACAACCAACAACACAAACAGCGGTGAACGTACCTTGGCGCCCACTTTCGCCAGTTCAGCAAATAGGTGATCCCCGTTCACCTCCGACGGCACTTGCCACATTTTGGCAGCCGTAATCGCCATGCCCATGGCACAGCCTCGGTCAACAGCCACCAGCGGGGAGCATGGCAGCTCAATGCGCCCAACATCGGCGCGTGTGGGCTGGAAAATGGGGGGGCGCTCGTCGGGGCCCACCCACTGCCCCTCCTCGGTAAGATGATACTCGAAGGCGCCCCCTCCCCCACTTCGGGCGCCAGCGCTCATCTTCTCCTTCCCCTTGTCAGCCTTCTTGCTGACATTGCCCAAGGGAGACCCAGCCCGCTTCCCCCGCCTGACTAAGGGCTCGGGCTCCTCTTCTCCCGAGTTCCCCTCCTGCTCCGCAGGCTCTGTAGCGGGCGCCTCTGTGTGCAGCGCCTCCTCCTCCTCCTCCTCCGGTGCTGAAGAGGCCACGCTGGCCGTCTTCGTGGTACCCCCCTTCACTGCCCTCTTCTTCTTTTTCTTCGGGGCAGCAGAAGGCGCCTGCGGTTCCGGCGCAGCCGGAACGGGCGCCTTGGGCCTTGGTGGTGGGGGCGCTCCCCCAGCCATGGCAGCAAGGCGGCTCTTCATGAGCTTCGCGATGCTGGTGAAGTCTGATCCTGCACATCGTTAAATGAGTTAGCACCACAGCAAACATTCATCGACAACAGAGCAAGGCAAGAAAAACGTTAGCACAACATATGGGCGCCTACGGACCATCATCATAATACGCCTCCAAAATAGGAGGACGATTCTCGGTCTTGCGCAAATTTACGCGCGTCTCGCAAATCAGCGGGGCGCCTGCCTTTTCTGTCGGAGACAACCTCACGTCTTCGTTGAACTCCTCCACACTCCCTAGCGCCCACTCTCTCATGAAGGCGCCCCCACTCTCAAAAAATGAGTCCCGATATGCCTTCATGAAGAAAAATCCGTTGAACCGCTGCGCCCCAACTTCGGGCACTTCTCTACAAAATGATAAGGGCGCCCTTTCCTCTTCTGAAGAGACAAGCAATTGTCATGAGCCGCCATCTTGAAAAAATATCGGAAAAGGTTGAAGGTAGGCTCCACGTTATGCTCGCGGCAGCGCAGCTTGAAGAAGATGACCACCATGATCACCGAAGGAGACAGGCGCCCCAATGGGCAGCCACAGGTCGTCATTATCCCCTCCATGATGTGGTCAAGGGGGAACCGCAGCCCAAAGCGGAAGTACTCTTGATACACCCCTATCCACTTGGGCCCACAGACGCCCACTCGTGCGATAGGGGAGGGAGGCGCATACCACCAATCACGGGGCAGTTGGAGGCTGGTCACTAGCTCATGAACACGAGCCAAGGTGACGGTAGAGGTGTGCTGTGGACCCGCAACGTCGAAAGGCAACGACTCGGTCTCCGTCGGGAGGTGATCAGGCGGAAACGAGTTCTCCCACACGGATATCTTGTAAGATCCATCGGCAGGCATGAAGCCCGGGGTGGAGGCGCTTGACGGACCTGCGGACGACGACCCAGGCGCCCTCTCTAAACCAATAAACGACCCAGGCGCAATATGGCCGCAGAGTAAGTGACGCCCTACCCTAGAGAACTAGAACAAAAGTAAGGAACGCAACCAGTAGAGCAAGAAAATTCCTTACCACTTCGAGCGGGGCGCCTTGCCTCGCCGCCAGCGTTAGAGGCGCCTGGCCTAGTTTCTTCACCAACAGGGGAGGCGCCCTGGCCGACAACTTTGTCTCCTTGCGAAGTCATGCTCGGATGAATGGACGGAAAAGCTGACGAAAGCAGAAGAATCTAGAGAGATGTCAGAGAGAATCTAGAGAGAAGTCAGAGCAACAATCTTAGAGAGAGGCAAGAATGTGGAAAGTGACAAGGACTGATGTGGAAGGGGGGTATTTAAAGGAAAAGAAGAGCAGGAGGGTAGATGCGTGTAGCGTGCCACGTGTCATCGTCAAGGGCGGGCCTTTGAGTTCCCCCCCACCTTTTCCTTTTCTGACTGGAATTTTGGCCTAAAAAAAAAAAAAAAAAAGGGGGCCAAAATTCGAAGAAGGAAAACGTGGGGTCGACATCAAACGCCCCCCCTTGAGGGGGGCATAAGGGGTTGAGGCGCCTTAAACCCGGCGCCCGAAAAGGACTACAGGAAGGTCGGGGCGCCCCGAAAAGGACTACAGCTAGGTCAGACGCCTAAGTAGGGGCAAAACAACCACCGAGTCAGCTAGGCGCTCAGCAGCAGAACAATGAGCACCTAGCTGGGGGGGCAATTGTTGGGGGTATAATGAGCAAAGCCCAAGTGGGGGGCAAAGCCTAGGCAAACTTGGGCTCCCAAGCAGCCCAAGTGAGGGGCAAGGCCCAAGTAAAGGGAATGTCGCATGAAGACAAGGCACAAGAGGCCAAGGGAGGCCAGGCTGTCATGTGGTCCAGCGCCTGTGGGCGCCTGTCACGTGTCAGGAGTCTGACAAGGCGGTTAGGATGTCTGGCCAGAATGAGACAAGAGCATTGAATGAGGGCAGGGAGGCAGAGAGGATCAACCTCGAACTCAGGTAAGTATAAATAGAGGCAGTTGGTAGCATTTACGCAGGTTGGACACGGACACACAAACTTTAGCTTCGAGACTCCACTCTCTACCCAGAAACTAACTTGGGCGTCGGAGGATTAACGGGCCAAGGCGCCCCCTCTTTGTTAGTGTGTGCAGATAGGCGCCTGAGGAAGGAGGGTACAGGGAAATCAGGCAAAGGGTATCAAGTCTCAAACACCATGCATTCAATTCATCATTATTATCAACTTCAAGAGCATTTGTAATTCATAAATAGAAACAATAAAAAAATCCATAAGGTCCCCTCTTGTTCATCACATTACACATATGGAGTCCAGAAGACCAGAACCCTAGCTAGCTAGAAATCACTTCCCGATTCATATCTCAAGTCATATATATCATAGCTGGCATAACAAACACAGTATTATTAAATGTAAAGCTTATAAACATCGAGAGGATTGTAATCCTTCGCAAACTACACGTAGTTCGAGTTTCGTACGAGCTTTATATTAATGTAAGAACGCGAAAACGAAATCCTTGTTTCGGCACAATAAAGGGTAGATGACCTGGGATGGTACTAATTAAATAGCTGCCAAATCAAGAAGAACAACCCGATAAGTGATTGAAGCCAATTGTCACATTCCAAAGCTAACATGTGAGTTTTTTTGTTGGGAGATCGATCGATGGATCCTCCATTTCCTATGATTCAATAACTGTTTCCTTTCCCAACAATTATTAGTGTTGGGACGGTTTGTGCTAGGTGAATTTTCTTTTCATTTGGTCCATTCTTATTAAGATTCATTAATTACAGTGTTTTGATTCCTCTTTAGAATGAAACAAGATTATGTATACACGCACATGAGAGTGTATTTGTGTTAATTTTCCTTCATCATATTACAATGATATCGATCAATCTGATAGGATATGCGTGAAAAGCTAAAATCAATATTTGGTTCAATTAACTATCGACTGATCAATAGTTACAAATCATTCATTCGAATAAATCAAGTTCTTGAACGGGATAGATATTCAATATTTATACTGCATTGACACTAAAAGCACGTCTTCGCACGACACCTGAATTAAACGAATTTGATCGACACACGTAATGATATCAGACAAGATCCGGTACGAGAGAACCCTGAATCGCAATTATTAAAAGCACAGAGAACCTAATTCATTAGGCAAATTATTAGGCTTTTCATTTTAACGGTATGGGTTGGTGTTGCATGCATGAGCTTAAACAAGCAAAAAAAGCAAAGACAACCGTATATACTAATTCCTTGTTCTAAACTACAATGCCCTAACTAAGCTAAGCTATCTCTCCTTTGATTAGTTTTGGGAATTGGAATCGACATAAATTCAACGTACATACATATTAGAAGGAACATATCTTGTCTATCGATATCAATAATTTGGTAATATATATCTACATTTCTAATTATAATGAACGGAATCTTAATTAATTAATTATGAGTTTATCAACGATGGAAATTGAATGCTATATATATATATATATATATATAGTAGGGAACTATTAATTCATTTGCTAACATATCTTCAATTATTGCTAATTTGATGAGACAATTAATATATAGCTGAACTTTTATGTCCATGAAATGGACTAAATTTCGTAAGCTTATGCCCTTAAAGCTTTAGCTCCAAAGAGGTGAATAGAGGACAGGGTTTTTAGGCTTGCTTGGAAAGAGAGTTAGGAATCCTCCAATTTCAGGGGTTTCTTTTGGATTACAACGAATTCCAGGATTTCCTTTTTTTTCTTCTTCTTCTTCTTTGTATAAGGCATAATAGTGCGCCATTACCTTTGTTGCTGATAAGAAATGAAATGGGTGATAGCATATCGAAAGAGTTGTACATAGAATAGCAGTGCAGGCCAAAAAAAACCACATTTGAAGAGTCAATAGCATGGTATATATAGTAATCATGTGCAAACTTCAGGCTCGCACCGCTCATGGATCGATTTTCGTTGAGAGTAATAAAGAAAGACATAAGATTAGTGTTTAGACCTCTCCGATGATGTAAGTGATGGGTGCACGTTTTCTGACCGTCTAGGTCATTAAACTAATTTAGGGTCATTATTATTATTATTGTTAATTTGGGATATTCTTTTGGTTATTTAGGATTATTATTTCTTGTTAAGGAAGTTACTGTTTAGGAGTTGGTCTAGGATTAGTTTACTTTGTTCGGGAGGGAAAGGAATTGTAGGATTATTCCTATAAATATGTACTTTGTCTCTACGTTTTAATCAATCAAAGAAGAATAAACCAGTATTTTTCAGTTTCTTTTAGTTTAGTTGTTACGATTACGCGATGGACGAAACGATCGTCCATCAGTAAGTATAAGGTATAGTAACCAAACCATGGACCAGTTTTCGTTGAGTGACAAAAGTAGTATGACATTCATATTCAAACCTCTCCCAAAACCTGAAACTATTGGCACCAACTCGTTCTCGACCTGAAATACCATGACGAAGATTAGCTTCTGTTAAGAGAGGGATATTGATGAAACCATGATGATTGGTATACCAAGGATTGAAATACCATGCCGTACCAGCGGTTCAACCAGAAAACCTCCTACCGGAACCTAAACCGGTACGTTGTATTTAGCGGTATGAAGCGGTTGAGCCATGATTAAACAACGATTTTAGCATAAAATACTCTACCGCTGACTTTTCCGATACAAGCTCCGGTACAGTATTTTCAATCTTTTGAGAAACTACACGTTTGTCGTTTTGCCCTCTACCTTCTCTTTTATGATCATTGCCCCCCACAAAATATCTATATGTTTCTTGTGCAAGAGGGTTATTAATTACTAGCTGGTTTCTTTCACATGCCACTCATGTGCCCTCCCATGCTTGCTAGGTAAGGTAGCTCTTAATTGGGAGGGCGATCGATCGGTTAGCCCTCTTCAATTCTCTGATCTTTGCATGGAGAGTGCCCTTTAAATTTTAAGGTCATTATTGTTGTACGTTATAATGTCCTCCTAGGTTCTCGTTATAATTAAGATGTTACATGTTTGCCTGCCATGGCAGATCGATGGATCTCTAGCTTGGACCATCTCATTCCAGAAACAACAGCTTGGAACGAACTCTTACTCGGTTGCTGAAATACGTACAAGCATCAGATGCACGTATCATCGTGATTGAGATTAGTTATAGATTGGCCAACTACATGTTTACACTCTCTCGCGGGTAAACATGATATGTGGCCTAAATGAACTGTGGTTGGGTTGTATATGTAGATTGACCTGATAGTTGATATCCTAAAGAAAGAAAAGTACCATATATAGTCAAAACTCAAAATGTACACTCTCGGTAAACATGATATTATGAAGAAGAAGAAGAAAAGTACAATCAACTACATATAAGCATCGAATGTATGTATCATCGTGATTGAGATTGGTTATAGATAGTCAGCTACATATTTACACTCTCGGTAAACATGATATGTAGTCAAAATGGCCCGTGGTCAGATTATATAGATAGATAGATAGATAGATAGATAGATAGATAGATAGATTGACTTGATAGTTAATATCCTTAAGAAGAAAAGTACGATCAATGTGTGGTGGTTGCCTCAGTCAGATAAATAGTCATATGTAATTGAGTCGTCCGTATAACGGTATAAGTTATAAGATTATGAAACTTCATATAAACCCACCTTATAGTTAATATGCTTAAGACGAAAAATATCATCAATTTGTGTGAGGTTAAACCTATATAATATATATATATATATATGGTTATGTCTTCGGTGCACTCACTTTTTTGGGTGCATTCAATGCACCCGCCTTATAATCGTCATTCTGAACAGACGATTCATGTGAAAACGATGTCAATCATCCCTTGTAGTATGATGAACAAGAACCACATGAATTTGTACCAAAATCATTCAAGATTCACTTTAATTTGAATGATTCAGGGTTTAGAAATTTAGGGTTAGGGTTAGGGTTTACAATTGGGATTTTGGGTTTAAATTCAAAATTGAATGTTAATAGGTTAAGGTAGTGGGTTGATTAGTTGTGATTCTGTGTTATATCATCATATGAGACTAATGCTACCCATTAAATTTCAAAATTTGATGTATTATGACCACTTTTAGAGGTGGGTGCACTGAATGCACCCAAAAAAGTGAGTGCACCGAAGTAGCCACCATATATATATATATATATATATATATATATATATATATATATATATATATAATATAGTAGTGAATAGCTAGCCTAGAACCCATAAGTTTCTAACAACTTCTCTTATGGGCTTTTCCATCAAAACAAGGTGGGAATTTAAGTGAGAAGGACAAAAAACCATACATACATCTTTTCATTTGCCCAACAAACAAAAGAGCAGTTGGACATCAATTTTACACCCTGCCAGATGTTTATCTGGGGTAGCTGGCTGGCTGTTTCTTAATGGGCTGCTGCTGGGCCTACCCCCTCAAATTTTCAACTGCTGCTGGGCCTACCCCCTATCATCATTTCGTTTTGAACATGTTGAACCCATTGGGCTGCTTAATGGGCCCTCGTTTCTTTTCCCCATTCTACACGTACAGTGCATGTGAGTCATGTTTGTACCTCTCCACAAGATCCTGCTGCTCCCTGTGGAAGGGACCGAAAGATCGTATAGAATACAACTCCACTGTTCTGTGATCACTGTGTCAGGCAGTCAAATGTACTCCACTCCGATCGATCGATTCGCAGGAATATCGTCGAGGATTAGTATCAGATGATTCCAGCCATGGCAATAACCTTTCCAAAGACGGTGATAGACATCGATAGGTATGAATAGAGCCAATCACCACAGTAGGTTGGTCGATGCTTATCTGAATCTAGAGCGCGTTGATAAGAGATCATACGGGGTGTTGGTTGTCGTTTTCGCTCGTTTGTAACCTGCGTATATGCTCCAATCACCACAGTAGTATTTCGGAGGGGGCGTTGTAGGACTCCGATTATTGGCATTGAATGTTGTCCAGCGGGGAGCTCGTTTGCAGTTAGGCTCACAATGTACAATCCAGCTGTTTTAAAGCATGAACTTGAGCAATCACCAACATGTATTAGTTGCAGAGCAATTTTTCACGAACTTGCTTGCAGGGGTTGGGGAGTTACAGTCTACCACGTTTACAGAGGACAAGAAGTAACATGGATAGTGCTAGTGCAGATCCCACACTTGAACAGCTGAGCTTTTTAATACAGAGATCATATGATTATTTGCAGAAAACCAAACCCTTTCGGCAGGACAACAAATGGTTTTGCTCTTTCTGCAGTTTTTATCAGGTTACTGCCTTCCCCTTCTGTTTGCTCTTGCCAAGCTCCACAAGCATGGTCAGTAGAGCCTCGCACATTTGGAAAGAATCAGGGTCGCTTGGATCCTTCTTCTTGGACGAGTAAACCATCCAGCCATGGTCGAGCTTCCTGTCTGGTCTAACCACAACAGAACCCGGAACTTCAGCATCACGGCAAGTCACCAATCCATCACTCTTCTCCCCATACCGAAGCTGTAAATGAAGTGCGCAAAGCGCCATTGCGCCAGATATTGGCATCACAACAGGCACCTGACGGCTCACTTGGACCAGATCATCAGACTCCCCGCCGGCATAGCTAGGAAGTGGGAGCCATGGAAGTTCCGCATGTGCTATCTGAGTCATCGTGGCAAGGACACCTGGAGCAATACTTGCCTCGGAGTGGAAAGAAACAAGGGGGATTTCGTCGGGAAGATGATGGTTCATGATGAACTCTCTCCGCTTGTCGTATGTAAGGTCTTCCAGTGCTCGTATGTCGCCCTAAACATAAGCAAATTGAAAACACTTTCATTTAGGGTAAACAGTTGTTTTAATAAAAAGAGATTTGGACAAGTGTGTATGTTTCAACTTTTGACCCAACTTTAATTACTAAGTTGATTGTTTCTTTAAGCAAAACAAACAAACCCCAAAGCTAGATATCACCAAAATCAAAATGAAAGCCGTTTCACATGGCCTTAACAAAGCAAAAGAAAGCACCTTGATCAACTTGCAAATCAGGAATTCCATGATCCTCCTGGTTTCTCGGTCAGCAATCTGACCCTCACGAAGGATGTCTGAGGCGATGGGTGTCCCACCATAGGGACTCTGCACGAATGCAAGTCCAGCGACTTTGTCTTTCAAGTCGGACCAGTAGATTGACAATGCAGCTGCAGCATCAACTCCTCCTTTGCTGTGGCCCAGTAGCATCACACGCTTCCCTGAACCCCAGTATAGCTCATCGATGTACTGCTTTAGTTCCAATGCATTGTGCTCCACGGAAGCCTTTATAGCAAAGAGGATAATTTTCAGATCAGATGATTGAGAAACTATTCTAGATGAAAGGGAAAGAGTTGTATACCTCGCTGTGAATTTTGGCAATGTGACAAGCGAGACCCATCTTCGAAAAGAACCGCTTAGTGGCCACAAAATACAGGGGGCCATGGTTACTAAAAAGTCCTGAGAACGAAGAAAGTTAAAGTTCAGTAAAATGTTTTCATTTGTCACCTTGAAGTGAAAAGGTGAGAGTAGAAAGAGAGATCTCCCAATACCTGGTATCAATAGATACACGAAGGAATCAGGAAGCACATGCTCTCCATTCCTGAAGGATGAAATGGAACAGGTGAACCGACTTTATTCATGAAGAAAAGGACAAACAGATGAGCAAGAAGCGGATAGAACTACGAGTAGAAGCAGACACCTAACCAGCAAAGGGAATTGTCAAAAACAAGATGCAATGATCAACACTGACTTGCTGCACAAGTGTAAATGTCTTCACAACTCGTGACGAAAAGAATGATTTTCCATAACATGGAACAAATGCAGAGTTGCATAGCAGAAGGTTCAAAAAGAATGACACAATTGAGAAAAGTTTAAGTATTGTAGCCAGCAAGAAATTGAGATCAAGAAACTTAAGTGAAATATTGACATAGTCAAAGTTGTCCAGCTTAACCAAAGGGGTACCTTATATTCTCGAGAAGCTCTAAGAACCTAGGAGTACCATCACTAACAGGAGGCATTCCAGGTGTATTTTGCAACCAGCCAATATCATCACTTGAACCATGCAACGTTTTGTACACTCGCGATGCGACACTGAGGGTGGAGAAACAGTAATGAGACTCAGTTAACAAGGATACAATTGGAAGCAGGCCAAATGACTCCCCAGAAACTCATCTAATGCAACTGAACCTATCAATTCAACAAAAAAAAAAAAAAAAAAAAAACTAAATATTCTTCTTTCTTTACCTACGTACTCGAAGTTGACTGCGTCTGATACAGCGGAAAAAGTATCTCAAGGAGGGAAACGTCAACCGCCAAGCAAGTCTAAAACCAAATAATGGGATCATCAACCTGCACCAAGGGCAGTAAATGCTTTAAAATGAGTCGTCAACATAAGAAGACATTATGCTAGAAGCACACACACTTTCATTCATCCTCCACGGTTTGTGATAGCCTGACCTTATCCTTAAGGAATAAAATGAATAATTGTGAAACCCATAAAAACAGCCAGTGGAAGCACGACGGCATATCAACTAAATAAGAATTAACATAGAATGGTATAAGGTGGAACAACATTGATAAATTTTTTGGATAGAACTACTTAGATTCTTCAGGGTCAAGCAAACGATCAGTAGGAGGCATGTCAGATAGAAAACTGAAAACAAGTGCAGTAATTTGGTTACACAAAAACTACTCCAATTAGGAAAAATGTACGATACCCCTTAATAATGAGGCAGATGTGTTGATGACTGTAACTTGTATCTACAACATCATATCTTGCATTTACATGTAATCCGTCCCTGGCTTGCGAAGTTCTCCGACACAACGTTCCAGTGCATTTATCAGCCATACGGTAGTTAGATAATGATGAGGAACAACCTCGCACGCAAGACTTACAGATGCCAGGGTTTGGAAAACTTGAATCCGGTTCAGGGTTACTAGTGAATAAATTATCCGAGAATTCAGCAACAACATCTCGGAGAATGAGACTCTCTGCAAGATGACTATGAGTCGTATCAAAACCTCACAGAATATCATGACGATCGTGAGCAACCAGATTTCCATAGCTATTGATGAAATTCCACATAGACGAGATTAAATTCAAGTACTCACCAATAAAACAAATCAATCTATGACTTATGTAACTACTTAATCTCAGAAGGCTGGTGAAAATATCGTCCTCTGAGGAGCGTGGTCCAATGGAACCACTACGAAAGCTTCTCTTACCCTGTGCATCGTGGCAATCCTGACGAGAGAGGGGCAAAAAGACATTAGAGCTGAAAAAACAATCTTTTACATCGAGCCGACAGAAATATGGTTCACAGTGTGAGTTGGTCCTGTATCCTCAACTATACATCCCTCTTTCAAAGAAAATGGATGGATGCTATGGTTATACAAGTATCCAGTCCTTGTTGAATCAGCAATCTGATGATTGCGCTTACATGGAGGAATTCAAGCAGAATCACCAGTCATGCTCATGTGAAAACCGCAAGTACTGGTTAGAAACATCCGCTAACCGAAGTTCAAATCAGGCGGCCAACATTCAACGATCCACGATCATGCACAGAGAAAAGAAACGAACACGGATGCTTTATAGACAACATTTTGTCTGCAAAAGATTTGGACTGGTTTCTTACCACATGTTCACTTTGGCACTCATGCCCTAGCAGTGGCTGATAGTCATGGAACGTATGCCCGTCCTGCCGTGTAACCAACACAAGGGCGAACCAAAATTTAGTTACTAGCCAGAACTATAAGGAAAATTTTGATATTGCTATGACAGAATAAATTCAGAGTTCACTCTGATGAAGAATAAACCACTTACAACAGAAGGGATTTCTACTATCTCTTCCTGAATTTTGGTTGTTTCTACTTCTCCATCAATACACAAATCTCCCATCGGATCTTCCTGATCCTGAGATAAGACAGCAGCTCCTTTAACAACAAGAAATTAGGGGCGGTTCAAGTTCCAGACACAATGTTGCAACATTCATATCCTTTCTATTTTCACTTATTTCCAAAGTGCCACAGATTTGCAAGCACAGACAATTATGGACATCAAAAGAATGCACCTTTTTCGTCTAAGCTTCAAAATATCAGCAAAGAATGGGCAATTGACTATCCTATTGCGAGTTCAAGAATTTGATTACTTCTCAGACTAATGGAGAGAAACCACTACCATTTCCACAATTCACCAATTCCCCTCCAATAGAGAGGAAATAGAAACAATTGCGACCAATCAAACCGACTGAATTTTGTTGAAACAAAGCATACCCATAAATCCAAAGTCTTAAGTAAAAGGGAAGCTGACACAAATGGGATTGCATCCACTGACAAGAACCCAGAAAAAGAAGAGCAGTGTTTGACTTACAAAGATGATGCAAGAGCAGAATGGACACCAAGCGATTGACAAGTACGGATCCAAATCTGCAGAACCAAACAAAGAGACAGAGCGCAGTGTTTTCCCAATCAAAACCCAGTCATCAAATATATATTTATATGGAGGGGGGAAAGTAAAAGGGAGCAAACATCCATAAATGCGCCAAATTTACCAGTTTCGAGTAAAGAAATTCTAAGAAATGGGCAAAAGGAGAACACTACAAAGACGAAAACATAAAATAAAATAAAAAAACAAATAAAATATTATGTAGAGTTATGGGAATGGTAAGCAACCGAGGGAAAGTCATGGAATTGGAACGGATCGTTATCTTCCTCGCCCGGTCTTCAATAAGTAGTTGGCCATTGCCCCAGTCCTTGCCTCCTTGGACGACGTAAGCTCTCTGCCGCTGAATCACAATCTAAGATTTTGGAGCTTTTCTCTGAAAATTCGAAAGGTTTGGGAGTTAGCCACGAACGGAATTACGGTTGGAACTTGGGACTTGGGCTTCCTTCTTTTTCCATAAAGAAAAATAAAGATGGGTTCTTTTTCCAAATTTTTTACCGCCGGGACAGAGAAGGGCGTGAGTCGGATTCTGAAGAACAGTGAAAGATCGTCGTGAGGGTAAGTATGAAGGTGGCGAATGGATAAATTAGGGTTCTTTTTAGATCTTACCTAGCCACGCAGACGCAGGTGACAGGCGTCGTGACATTGGTGATTAGTACAGATTCCAAGCCGAACAGTCAAGGAAATATCTTAGTTTAACCGGTATCACCAAAGTGACTGACCAGGTTTCTTTTAATGGATTATTGAGTTGTTGCATCAATAAATCTGTCTCGTATCCAATCAAACTCAAATATTATAAAGGAAGAGAAGAAAAAAAAAAAACTCAAGTCATAAGTTGTTGGTAGCTTGATTAGATTAGAGATCACACAGAGGCGCTCGGTTGTGTTTGCACTTGTGTTTAACTTCGAGATATGCTCTATCGTTCGAGGAGGATTGAGAGGTGCGGTAGAAGGACTTTAGTTGGTATATAATTTGGGACATTATAGAGTCGTGGTTCAGTTAGATTCTAATTGTGTAGTCCAACTTCTACAAAGGAGTGACGACGACGCTCATCGGCACTCAATGGCCTTTCTGGATCGAAAGTCGGCATTCATTTATAAAATAAACAAGTAAAGAGAATAGTGTTGGTCTGTATTTAACGTATCCAAATCGAAAACAACACAATTAAGTAAAAAAAAAACATATGCTTTAGAATCCTAATATGGGTCAATAATATTTCCCGAGAATTACATAAACCTCTTGCATTTCATTTAGGATAGCAAAAATATCCGTGACCGTGAATATCCGTCCGAATCCGGCCAAATCGGGTAGGGTAAAACTCGAACTCGAAGGACATTTAGTGGGTACGGGTAAAATCTGAACCCGAATATTGCGGGTAATGGGTGGCATGGGTTTCTCACTATACAACCTGAACCCGACCGATTATACACATGCATATGTATTTTGTCTAGAAATAATCATTATTTTTCTCTAACATATTTTATATTTTGCATATAAATATAACATTTTCATGAAATTGTGTATTTTTAATTAATTTTTTTCATTCTACTGAATTATTGTCGTACTTTTCTTCTTACGTAATCTGAGAAAACGTGTGAATGTTAACATATTGGTTGGAGTTATGAAGAAAAATTATTACCCATGGATAACCGTCGATACCCGAAACCCGAACGGGTATAAACATGCTTTTAATTTTCTATCTATTTCACATGTGGGTCAGTGGGTATGAGTTAAACCCGAACTACTATAAATAAGATTACGAATATGCCGACGCATTGCCATCCCTATTTTCATTTAGGTTCATTCTTTTCTTCTCATACTCTGTTGAGCGTCAGAGAATTTTTTTTATGTTTTGGGTGACAGATCATGGACACGTGGCGTAATGGGGTTCCAACCATGGGGGTCGTGGACAGAAACTGGAACTCGATCAGAAGGAAAAGTGTCATAGGCAATCCCACATTAGAATATTGATGATCTTTTCATCGAAGTAGTCGTTCACTTCAAGTTTCGAATCGTTTCTCATCAACCGAGGCTGCTTCAGTTGGCCAATGCAAACTCAGAGCTCTGCAAAAGGAAACGAACCGCTTTGCCAAACTTGCAAGCCACCATCATTATAAGGAAAATGGCGGCTCTGCCACGACTTCCAGTTGAAGGCTCCTGAGTTCTCCTTTGTTCCATTACGCCAGTAACATTTTCTAACTCAAAAAACTATCTTTATAAGTGGCTGATGAAGGAAAAGTAGTTAGAATTTGGACAAAGAAGAAGAACAGCAACTTCTGCATTCATTCAACCTTATCAATACAACGAACACTATGCTCAAGCTCAACACTCCATTTGGATGTTTACAGAATCAAAATCAATAGGGAGGCTACAAAACAAAATTTCTATATAGCTATGTACACAGAAACGAATTCATTCATATGGATACCGAACCATAAACTCTTGTGCAGAAACTTATTTGGGAACCAAGAGAGTTTGAGATGCTTCACTTCCATCATCGTGGTTTTATCTGATAGACGCGGTTGTACCAGATCGAATGAAGGGTCATGTGAAAGAGATCATATTTCAAAGGCTTACCATGCCAAAGGAAATGCCTTTGAACCTTCCTGACCCCGAGCTGCAGCTCCACGTATCGCTTTGCTGGTATCGAAACCAAAATCTCCTTCAGATTAGGAATGTCCTTCTCCGGGAGTATAATCGAGAAGGAGTTCCAATTGAAGACCTCGAAAAGCGGTGGAATGAAATTGTCTGATATGATAACCGGCACACATTCATAGAAGATGGATTCCACGACTCGCGGGCTGTTAACCTCGTAGCCCTTGGGGCAGATGCAGTACTTGCTCCTCTTCATGTGCTGGATGTAGTTCATTTTGCTTGCAACACCAGCAGGCATAGGACCAAAGATCTTCATGTCAGGGTCCTTGTCTTTCCACTGCTTGACTAGAATTGGACGAAGGTATCCATGCATGCCTCCGGCATAGAACGCAAGAATGTCCCTTTGAGAAGGAGGTTTCCCTCCCAGGTCACGGAGAGGATTTCTTGCTGATCTGACGTATGTCTCTGGAAGAGATACATCCCTCCCTAATTTGAAGCCTACGGTCACATCAGCATTGCAGAGGGCTTTAATACAATGTTCCATATGATGCCTTGTCTCGTATGGAGCCTGCAAGAATATTACAAACAATGGCATATATCAGCAATCCATGAAGCTACAGCTGATGAAGAAATAAGTTTGTACTAAAGTACGGAACAGACCCAATCATGGCAGGCAACAAGAAAATGGTCTGCTCCACCAGTGCGATTCCAGAAAGGATATTTAGCTGCAATCTTTTCTGCGTATTCCTTCAGATGCTGGCGTAGATTTGTCCTATTATGAGAGTTCCGTACGTAGAGAGTGTATTCCAGCATTCGGGAACTAAATGGCATATAGAACAGGTGAGCCTTTCGGGGGTCCTTCACGACAAATTGCTTGCTTCCCTGCATTAGTTTCATAAACCATCCCTCTGAAGCATACAATCCCTTCATTATTGGTAGATGAAAGATGGGTTTCTTTCCATCCTTGTATATATAGACTTTGAGTGTGCGTTCCATGAGCTCATAACTCCTAAAAATTTAGCAAAGAGGAAGTTCTAGATTACAGCTCGACTTAAGGGCTCCCAACAGTTTTCAGTTCCAGTGATAAGATTTCTCAAAAATTAACACCAATACGTTTTCGACTTGTCAGGTGAATCAGTGAGGCGGGAACAAAAGAAGTTGCCTAATAAAACTCGTCCAACACCTAGAAGTATGAACTGGCATGAGTATAGGATATGCCAAGTCATCCAATAACAACAGTATAAATGATTTAACCAATGTCACTTTTCAAAACCTAAATTTGACAAGAAAGGCCCATCCCAAACTTTCTAGTGCCAACTTTGGATGGATCAAAGCTTAATGTCATTGTCTCATTGATGACAAAACTGCAGAATCAGCTTTTTAATATCCTAAATTTGGCAAAAAAGACCATGATCCCAAACGTTCTAGTGCTGACTTTGGAGGGATCAGAGCGTAATATCTTAACCATAATAGCCTCATGCTCCATCTCATATCTAGCTATAGACTACAAAGATTCAGATGTGGAATCTGAATCCATACTGGTCTCGGACTCAAAAGTTATAGAGTATTAAATATTGACAACAAAACTACAGAATAAGCTTCACAGCAAGCAACAATTTGCAACGATAACGAGTCCAATGATTTTGAACTAGAGGATGAAAGGGAACATTTCTCATTCTTAATATCAGTTACTTTATAACCGAACCCATGTTCTTGTTTTCAGTTTTATTTTCTAGTTTGTTGTCATCATCTTGTATCACTCACAGAACATCAGATCAGGGAAATTTTTCATAGCGACAATTCCAGGAACAAACTAGCAATCTGTACCTCAATGTAGGTGGTTACCTTTTGAACTGTGACACATTTCTGAAGAGTGGAGCATAAAGATCTCGATCATTCACCACAGCAGGTGCATTTTCAATCTGCCACCTTGCAGCCAAAATCTCCCGATCTCGTTTAGAGGACCATCTCGGTCTCTACAAGGAAATTTGCAACTGGTCTAAATATGCTGAATTCAAAATGAAGAGACTACTGAAGATTTTATGCCTAAGCAAGTAAGGTTCATACCATTGCCCGTGAAGAGCGGCGATTTCTTGCCAACAAACGGTTCATCTCATCAATTGTTGTAATTGACATTGGTGGCATCTCAGCCCTAATCTTCTTCTTCACAGGGTTACTAACTCCAGCAGAATAATTCCTTGAAGTGGTAAAAACAACTTTTTCTTTCAAAGGGTTAGCACTTGTTGTTGGAGCTACAGCTCGAGACAAAACTAGAGGGGACTCACTGTTCTTGCTAGTCACATTTTGCACAGAAGGAAGCTCCTTTTTGGCTTCACTGGGCAACTCCAAAACAGAATCTTTTTCTTGAGTAACCTCATTTCCATCCACTACATTCTCCAACCGAACATCAACGTCGTCGTCGCCATCATCATCATCATCAGCCACATCTCTATCAACAGCAAGTTCATCAGTATCATCATCCAAGTTTTCTTCTTCCGATGCTAAACCGTTCTCTGTATCTCCACCATGCCCTTTCACTTCACTAAGACTAATATCACCCATACTATCAGATTTAGTCTCATTTTGGACAACAAGACCAATCTTCAACTCACTTACATCAACTGCTAAAGCATTTCGAGCCACTCCAGACTTAATGGCAGATTGCCCAATCCCGAAAACCCTGCTTTCATCAAACACGGGATCACGGGCTGTGGGTAGAAGAGTCCGAATGGTGTACCCATATGGAAAAAATAGGGACAGAAACAGCAAGTGGGCAATGACGACTGCGCCAACAAGAATGAGCCATTTTCTCGACACCATTTGACAGAACTTACGAAGTCGATAGGAGAACTCCACACCAGATTCCGACTGGCCAGTACTTGAAACTTAAAGTAACAACTTCTTATAGCTTACACAAATGCTGCACAATCATTGCAATAACCAGAATCCAGCTACAGAATCGAGAAGAGGTGTTAAATCCGTTATACCAGAGAAAACAAGAAACTTATAAATGTCAAAGCAACCATAGTGGGATCACAATTCAGGACTCAGTCATCGCCCCGCCAGAACAAGAACCCATTATGCATTTAGTAACCGACAAACGGAAGAGGACAGATTCAGCAATCCTAGAACAGTGCACTACCAAGTAAAGAACGAGTGGCAAAAAAACACTCCAATTCCCAGATCCTTTCAAAGTTAAGAAGAAAAAGAGACAGTACAAACCCTAATCCGAGTATCTGCTGCATGTTAAGCGGGACAAGGCAAGAGCTTTTTGCAGAGATGAACAAGAATACTCGAAAGATGCTTCCTTTCACCAAGTAACCAACAAACCCACTTCCCGTTTCTTCCTACTTCCTCCCCTATGACGAGATCGACGTCAGGGTACAGCTAAAGTGCTTTCCGACTATTGTCTACAAGAAGTTAATAAAGTGAAAATGTTTCTCTTTGAAATTTGGGGTACTTCCTATTAGAGTCTCTAATATATTTTCTAGTTTGCATTGCAATGACGAAGCAGACGACAATAGTGCGTGACAGGATTCATCCAACGAAGATAAGTTTTTACCTAGATGATCTATGATGTTTCTTTGGACAAAAATAAGGGTAATTATGAAAAAACGTTCACATACCTTTTCATTTTTATAAAACAGTTTCAAAACTTTTATTTTATACTTAACTTGGAGACTTGTAAGTTACCGTAACTTGGAGAAAACGGTCGACCTCTTCGATCAAGTGGTCTCACTGGCGGAGGCAGCATTTCAAACCACCCATGTCCTCTTTTCATAACTTAAATATATAAGTATTTAATAAAAGAATTATTTAATAAAAAATAATTATATCCAAATAATTCATTCATAAATAAAAAATAACCGATTATACTATCATACTTTTCAGAAACAACTACGAAGGAATTTCATATAGTGAAAGAAGCGCAAAAACATTTGTTGTCTACACTATTATATAAGCCTCTTTCAATGTATCTTACTAAACAAGTATTAGCAAACTAGCCGCCAAATCGACTTGGAAACTTGTTCTTAATATAACTCAAAGCTGCAAAATGCTCTTTTTACACTTGCAGTTGTAATTGGTATATCAAAACTAGCGGGATTGCCGTTGTCGCTAGACAATTTCAGGGTTGTTGAGGAAAGATCAAATAGGCATGAGGAGAAAAGAGACTCGATTAGCTCTTTATTGCAATTGGAATTTCGTTTATTGTATAATAAATTAATTTTATGTCAATTTTGGACAAGTAATGAGTTGTGTTGTAATGACAAAGTACTCTAATACTACCGATATGTGTTGTGTTCCATCACCAATATAAATATATATGGCGTATTTTTGTTCCACCGAAATTTACCCTGTCCCGGGACAAGGCCAAAAGGCCCTGCCTCCGCCACTGAGTGGTCTACCACTTAAGTCAATCGGTTTACCGCTTCCAGAAATAGGTCGACCTGATGAAACACTTACCTTAAAGTGGTCGACCAAATTTCAAGAAAGTGGTCTACCACTTGAGGCAACCGGTCACAAGACAATGATAGGATAAAAAACAAGCAAAAACTTATAATTTGAAAGAAAGATGAAAATTTCTATAGACTAAGGGGTCGTTTGGAGGTTGTGATTTCAAGCGATGTATTTAGTCATTGCATGTAATGTCGAGATTAAGTCTTTTTTGTTGTTGTTAAATTTGTGACAGAATACATGTATTACCTTTTTTTGGGTCCACCAACAATCACTCAAAATGAGTGATTATCAATATCTACCAAAAGGTGAGATTATGATTAAGGGATTGTCTACCCTCTATTTTTTCATTTATAACAAAGCACAATGTAAACCTCCAAACAATATATTTTTCAAATTCATACATTTCATCAATACATCAAATTACAACACACAAATTGATTAAATACTTCAATTTTAAGAAATAAATATGCATAACGTTTTTCAAATCTACGGGAGAACAATCACTCGAGAAACTTGTCATCTATGCTTGCAGTCTTTGTACAAATTTAAATCTCTTACACTAGCAAGCATATCTATTGTTATTGGACTCTAATTATTTATTATTATATCACTAACAATGGTTCATTAGGTCGACCAGTTATTGAAAGCGGTGGACCGGTTCGTGAAAGAGGTAGACCACTTGAAGAAAGTGGTCGATCGTTTTCTTGTAAAGTGGTCGGCCATTTAGTGGAAGAGGTCGACCGTTTGTTGAACACAGCAAAATGAAAAATAGTACATCTGGTTGACCATTCCAGAAAAGATGTCGACTATTTTGTCAAAATAGATCGACCATATCAGTGAACAGGTCGACCGTTTTGTTCAAGTCATGGTGACTTACAAGTCACTATAGCGAAGTCCTATATATTGATATTTAGTACCTAATTCTTTTTCATAAAAAATATTGATAAAAAATTATATTTTATTACCGTAAAATATTATGTCTTACATTTGATACCTACATGTTTACAAATTACAAAAAGATCCACAAGCATGTGTCCATAATTCTTTTTTATAATGACAAACGATCCCTTTTATAATTGTGGTCATTTCTTTGAAAATCACCAAATATTTCTATTGGCAAGAATTACATTAGCATAGTGCTAAGAAAAAGAGTACAAGCAACCTAATATTATCCTCGTTTACTAACTTGTAACTAGTGTGGGCCCCGGCCATTTGGCCGGAGGAAGGTAGGATGGCAATGGGTCGGGTTTTGCCAAATTCAAATCCAAATTTATGGGTTTATTCGTGAAAAAAATTCGGGGTAAAATCCACTGGGTTTGAAAAACTCAAACCCAACTCAATTATCCATAAATAACATGATTAATTGAAAGCTTCTTCCTTTCAATTAAGTTTCTTCACTCTCCACTCGATAACATCAACTTCATTCTACACAATTAGAAAGAAAAAATTAGACATGTCTCCACAAACATAAATAAGATAAGTTGTTTAGAATATTAAATATATCGAGAAAATTAATTATATGGGTGTGGCGGGTACCCATGGGTCGGGTTTACCTAAACCCAAACCCAACCCGATGAATATTGAACGGGTTTAAACCCAAACCCGGCCCAAAACCCGACAACACGGATTTTACCCGCGTTGACCGAGTTGGGTAGGGTGGGTACCCGTGGGTTCGGATTTTGTTTTCATCCCTAGAGGAAGGTGAGGTATGAAATATGATAATGTAATGGGGTGTATAACTTATTGTTGTATAGTTTTTTTTGGGAAACACGTGATAAAAATAGTGAATTTTAGCAGGAAAGAGACATTAATGATGCAACAAATCAAAAATCGGCCTTATGAACCAAAATCAAGTACCTGTTACCTTGTGAAACAATATTGTTTCTGGTAATATGATGAGGTGGAGTAAGTTTTATAGAAACTGAATTCCAGAAATTCGAATAAAAAATCGCCTATCCCGTCGGTTTTCGGGAAATGAGCATCTCACAATCGTTGCTAGCTTTTACTCGGCCTGTTAGCCGATTAATTTGGTTTATAAAACTTTCATCTTGTCGTCATTGTGCTTTCTGGTTTTTTTCCAGGCTATGATAAAATCTAAGGAAATAAAGAATGAACAACACGATTTGGGATAGGAACCGTCGTTGTCGTATCCCTAGAAAATGGTGGTAAACACGGACTCACCTGCCAAACTGGTTTGGATTGAGATTTTTATCGGGTATCAGAGAACCATGTGATTATAAATTAGACTTGATCAAAAGGGGCCAAAACTTGAAATGCAGCCTGTTTGACCGACCCATGCCAAATTCTAATTATTCTTTACTTTTAAACTTTTTATTTGAAAATAAAAAAAAGTGAAAGAAAAGAGATGACTGCCATTTGCACATCACTTATTCGGGAATAAAACCATAGAAATTCAAAAGGAACTGAAAATGTTAGGATCGTTTTAATGTTTAAAATAACCAAATAGATCTTTCTGTTTAGTTTTTTACTAACAAATACCAAACGATTCCCTATAAAATACACTATGATTTGATCATTATGATATCAAATAATTATATAATATATATTTGAAATGATAAAAATTGGACTAATTGGGTTGGTCGAGGTTGAACCATTGAATAACTTTAAAATACATTATATTTTAGCCACTAAGATATAAAATAATAGCATAATATATTATGCCAGAGAAAATAGCTTGTTTTAGAATGTCAAACCAATGATGTTCATTTGTTTTACTTGATGGCCAAATCCCGTGTAGGTCAAACCAATTCAACTCTTTTATTTTATGGTTAGCGGTTAGCCCATTAGATACCATGCATTAGTTTATTGTTAAATTTTTTATTTTTAGCAATAAAAAGAAGTATTGTTTTTGCCTCTTCATATATATTTTATCACCACGGAGAAATAAAAGGGCTTAATGAAAAAATTGACACTCTTGAACCCATTTAAATCCGCATGTGTACGGTAAGTTGGCCTGTTCCACAGAGGAAAGAGGAAAAAATTGACACTCCCTATTCTATCATTCCTACAAACGCTCGTGGAGCAGGAAATTTGAAATAGGGGAAGGGTTTTTTCCTCTCTGCTATTATATCTTTTTAATTTAAAAAGATGCAACAAATGTACTTAGTGTGATTGGTTATGATCCTTACTTTTCCTTAAAATTGTCATGGTTCAAATCCCACTATGTGTCTTTTGAATGAATTAAAAAAAGTAAGCGTGAAGACCAAAATGTCCTTCCTACTTTCACTCTCGTTGCATGAAATTTGAAATGGGGCTCCCGTTTTTCCCTTCGGTGTATTATATTATGTGTAAACTAGGGGTGTCAGTCGGTCGGTTTCGGTTTAACCGAAAACCGATTTTCCGATTATCGGTTAAACCGAGCTGTTCCTTATGCATGCCGACCACCGACGGCGAATGATGTCACGGTTAGCCGAGCACCGACCAACCGGTTTTCAGTTTTGGTTCGGTTATCCGCAATTAACCGAATTTATTGAGAGAAAGAAAAAAAAAAACCAACCCCACCCACCGACCCACGTTCTCTGCTCTCTTGTCAGTTGTCACCAGCAATAAAAAATTTAAAAGAAAGAAGGAGAAGAACCACCCACCAACCCACGTTATCTTCTTCCTCCCTTATCTTCTTCTTCTCTTTTCTGCTCTCCTCCCACAACCACACCTTCCTTATATTCTTCTTCTTCTCTCCTCCCTTTTCCCCCAAGAAGGCAAGAATAATAAAAGCAAAACCAGCCTTCTCCTCTCCCCTCTCTGCCACTGCCCACTGCTATCCTCCAAACCCCTTCTTCTTCCTCTCTCCTCTCTCTACCTCTATGAACGACGACGAGGAGCAGCAGCGGCGGCGATCGGCGGGAAGAGCAAGGCCGGAGATGGACGAATCGTTGCCTGAGGCAGAGGCGACGATGGTGGTGAAGTGGAAGAGCGGAGGCGACGAAGGCCGACGATCTGGTCTCGGAAGAGGAGGGCATTCTGGAGAGGAGAGGCGCGGCGCGTGGTGAATGGAAGGGAAGGGAAGGTTTTTGATTTTGGGAATTAGGGTTTTTCTATGAGATTGGGAAAAGGAGGAGTCAGGTTGGTTGGGGGAAATTGGATTTTCGGATGGAGGTCGGTTTGCTCTGGTTACTCGGATAACCGCGGTTAACTCCCTCTAGTTACTCGGCTAACCGCGGTCAATCCCTCCCCCTCTGAACACCGACCGACCCTTATTTCCCATCGGTTTTTGGTTAGCCGCTAACCGGCGATTTCGGTTGAACCAACTGGTTAGCCGCTAACCGACAACCGAACTACCACCCCTACTTGTAACTAGAGGTGGAAATCGGTATCCCAATACCAAATACCGAATTACATCCTAAATTCAATATCAATTCCAATTCCTAAATTATTTCGGTATCTGCATCCCAATCCCTAAATATTTCGGTATCCGAATCGGTACTTCGGTATCCCAATCGGTATTATCGAATACGAAATTAATTACCTTTGCAATTAATAATTAAATATATAAATTATATTTTATTGTTTAATTTAGGGGGAAAAGACTAAGCAAAAAGTCTTGAATTAGGATATTATTAAGGAGAATGGAGGAGAGGAGACATCTCAAATTCTTATCATTGGTAATCTTTAATTTGACGAATTGGAGGTTGAGATACGACTATTAATAGTGATGGAATGATCTATGTATAATTAAATGACAGTCTTGGTGGTTGAGGATCATGTAGTAGTCAATCAGAGAGTCTAGTTGAGAGGATAAAATACACACTAGTTTATATTTCGGTATTGATCGGTATTTCAGTATATACCGATCCAATCTCGTAATCCCTAATACCGAATAGCAATTGAAATTCAATCTCAATCCCAAGAAATAATACTATATTCGATAATACCAAATATATACAAATTCGATACGGTATTCGGTATATCTCAAATACCAGTACCAAACTTCTAGCCCCCGACAAAAGATTTAAAATCCAAATTAAACAAGAATATACAAATCGATTAAAAATAGACGGATCAAAAACCTTTTTCAACTCACTCATCCATATCTAACCCCACTCAAAATCAAAAGACCAATTCGCACAAATCCAGGGTAATACTCTGAAGTCTCAACCCAGACCTTATCCATCCCCGATTCCAGTTAACTGAATTCCGGCGGCCGGTATGAGCAAAATCAGGAGGAGCTGCAGCGCCGGAGAGGGGAGTTCGACATCCATCACCGATCTCCCGCAGACCATACTGATCGGCATCATCAGCCGGGTGCCGTTGCGATGCGCCAAGAGATGCAGCGCCGTCTGCAAAACCTGGTACAAGCTGCTCGTGAAGGACGAGGCAACATCGAACTACCTGCAGCACTGGTACGGCGGCGGCGGCGGGGACGATCAGATGAGCAGCCGACGTAATAGCAGCAGCTTCGCTCTGTTGACCAACATGACGACGTTGTTCCCCAGCTGCAGCAACCGTCTCTGGAGTTGGGTGGTGGCTGCGGCGTACTCTTCGGCGGAGGAAGATACGGTGGGAATATGGCCCCGACTGATGATCCGCCCTTGCAACGACGACGACAATGAGCAGCGTTTACGGTATAGCAACGAAGTCAGAGGCAGCGGCGGCCAGAGGATGGAAGTGGTTGCTTGCTGCAATGACGTGCTACTGTGCGAGGAGAATGATTCTGCTTCTGCTTACTACGTCTGGGAGCCTGTCAGCGGGGAACACAACTGGGTTCCACTCCCTGTAATCTCATCACATCATCATCGTAACAGCGAGCAGAGGAGAAGATTCCTGTATGGTCTTGCTAGCGAACCGGATGGCAGCTTTACCGTGGTTCGTATTACAGCATCTGAGCGGCCAACTGGTTGTGTGTTGATGCACACTTTCAGTAACCGGAGCAGGGAGGATTCATGGGCATGGAAGGAACACCATGTGGATTGGCCAGCAGGGCAGGAATTTCTGTGGGTTGAGCATTATCCCCAAGGACTAGTGTATAAAGGATTCATGTTCTGGCTAGGGGCGAAACACGCTCTCTTCGGAGTTGATCTTGATCCCCGTCGTCATCCTCATCATCCGGTGCTTATTACTTTGCCTCCGGAATTTCGATACATTGGCAATGAATGCTTGGGAGTATGCAGAGGAAGCTTGACGATTGTTCAAATGTCAGACACCCCATCACCCCTCGCTGCTGCCTATGTTGCCATTTGGATTCTGAATCATGGCAGCAGCAGCAGCAGAAGCGGGAATAGTGTTGATGAATTCTGCAGTTGGTCGCTACATAAGAGGGTTTCTCTGCAGCAGGCCATCGGTTCTGCAGATCCATTTCAGCGGCCCCCGACCTCTGATCTCAGTGGTGATGCTTCGCTGCCGCGGATGGGACGTCTGAAACTTCTTGGCAGGCATCCGTATGAGCTTGACATAGTGTATTTCAGAGTTTGGAGGACTGTCTTCTCTTTGGACCTTTCCTCCAAGGGGGCTCCCCTGCGGCGGCTGTTCGTGTACCCTTCAGACACATATCCTCTAAACACATCCATGGGACTGCCTGTAAATAGTTTCACTTTCATACCCCAATGGCGACCCACTCCTATCCGCACTTTCGCCGTTGATTCCTTGTTTATTAATTACTTGGAATGTATGTAAACCAACTTACAGCAATTGAACCATGCCTGCAGCAGCATAGAAACTAAAAAGTTTCAAAATTATATCTTCTTTAAGTCTTACATTATTGTCATGCATGGTTGTGCTTGTCGTCGCTCTAGCTCCAAACCCAGGAGCCCTAGTCCTTGCTCCTACATTTTTCTTAGTTATTTCCTTAGCTAAATGGCCACTTCAGAGATTCAATCAACTATTGCTGAATCAAATTACAACTGATCACAACTCCCTAGATATGAAGATTGCGTACCTGAAATGTGAAATCTGTATCTTTCCGCCACTTTATGACGCTCCCCCCACCACTACCAGCATCATCACCATGAACATTTCAGACGACAATCATAACCTCTGGAGTGAAGAGCGAGGAGCACGCTCTTCCAACTAGGGTTGTACACATGCGCCATGCTTGTTCTGCCACTGGAGGCAATCAAATTCTCCAGTAGATTCAGACTAAAACTCGTCTCGCAAATCGGTAAGTGGAAGAGAGCACTGCAATTATCATCACTCAGTAAACCACGGGTTTTACTGTTTCAGAGGAATCGATCACCAGCTCAGCAACTGGCCGTCCCCTCAACCCAACAGCAGACTTGTTCTTCCTTGCTCTCTGCTTGGCGCTTGCTGTCAATCATTCACAAATGGAGATAGGAATGCACTAGGCTGTTGCTCGCTCTCGTCTGTTACATCTTCATAACTAATGACAGCACACATCTCTCTGTTTCCTCTTTCCATACATCTCTTCTTCTTTGTGGCTTTATGCCTCTTTTGGTGCATGTTACTGTGAAGAACTTTCAAGTAAAAGAAAGACGCAATACTTCATTCCAGATAAACTACACTGGTTTGTTCTACTTCATAAGAGGAGTCACTAGATGCTGTGACAGGCAGCCTACTAATGATCATGAAGGTCCTCGCGTTGATGTTGCTCCTTCTAGTTCCCAAACACTCGGTTGTGCCAAACCGAGTGAAGGATCATGTGAAACAAGTCATACCTTTGAGGGGATTTGTGCCACAGGAAATGTTGCTGCACCATCCTCACACTTGACTGCATTGCCACAAACTTCTCCTCCGGAATTTCCACCAGAATCTCCCTCAACCTTGGAATGTCTTTCTCCGCAACAAACACCGCGAATTCCTCCCAGTTCAGCACCTCGAAGAACGGAGGCACGTAGTTGTCCGAGATGATGACTGGGACGCACTCGTAGTAGATGGCTTCAACTATTCTAGGCGTGTGAACTTCATAACCTTTGGCACAGATGCAGTACTTGCTGCTCTTCATGTACTCCCTGTAGATTCTCTTGCTCTCAACATCTCTCGGCATAGGACCCAAGATCTTCATGTCGAGGTATTTGCTCGCCTCCCAGTGCTGCAGCAGCACCGGCCGGAGGGAACCATGCCTTCCTCCAGCGAAAAATGCCAGGATGTGCCTCTCCAATGGAGGTTTCCCCCCAATGTCCTGCAGAGGTCTCTCCTGTGAACGTATGCTTGTCACTGGCAGTGTTGTGTCTTTTCCTATTTTAAAGCCCTTGGCCACATTTGCATTGCAGAGGGCTCTGATGCAATTGCTCATCATGTGATTGCTTGTCAATTTTGGTGCCTGAAACTCCATGTTCCAAAATGAGAGACTTCGAAACAATGGGAAGAATATGGACCAAGAGAATTACAAATTACAGAAAAGAATACCCAATCATGACACCCGGCAATGAAATGATCAGCTCCACTGCTTCTATTCCAGAAGCTATACTTGTGTGAAATGTGATTCACATAGCTCTTCAAGTGTTCTTCAAGTTCCTTCACGGACTGAAAGCTTTTCCTGTATAGTTCTTTCCTCAACATCTCTGAACTAAAAGGTATGTAGAATAGATGAGCTTTTCTGGGGTCTCTCACACCAAACCTCTTACTCTCCTTCATCAGTTTCATAAACCATCCTTCTGAAGCATATATCCCCCTCATCCTTGACTGATGAAATACCGGCTTCTCACCTTCCTTATAGATATAAACTTTCAGCATTCGCTCCATCAGCTCGTAGCTCCTTCAAAATGGTAGCGTGGCATCATCAGTCAACTAAGAGGCAGTTTCGTTTCACATGGAAGAAGATAATACAAAGCATATATAAGCTTTTCAAACCAAAAAAGAGAGGCATACATAGTTATAAATACCGTTTAAACCTGGAGACATTCCAGAAGCTAGAAGCATGAAGACCAGGAGTATTCTTCACAATAGGAGCATTTACTATCTGCATTTTGGCAGAGAGGAGTTCACGATCACGTGCAGAAGGCCGCTGCGGTCTCTGTGAATTCGAAGAAGTTAGCAAGTCCCGTATCAGACATCATCCATTACCCTAAACAAGAACCTAGAGATAAAGTCAATTGCTTTACCTTAGAAATAGCTGAAACAAGATTGTGATGCAACTGTGAGTTCATCTGGGAAATTGTTGTTGAATGCTTCTTCCTTCCCAACCTCTTGGATAAGGATAGACTCCCCTTCTCAGGATTCTTGCTCAATGCCATAGAAACAATCTGCAGAGGCTCCCTATTCTTGGGTTCCAATTCAATAGCTTCTTCAACAGCAGGTGGCCTGCTTCGATCTCGAAATTCCATATTCGAGATTGATTCAATATCATCTCCAAAATCCTCATCATTGGATGATGCTGATACAGAAGTATTTCCCACCAAGTTGAACTTCTGAATCTCACCCAACTTCGAATCATCTGAAATCCCAGGGTTATTGATTGGACTTACCAAGAAAGAGGAGGAAGCCTCAGGAGCTTCTTCTAGTAATGGAGGCCATGATGATTTTCTCCCAATCCCATAGGAAATTGAAGAGCATTGAACAATAACAACAATAGCAAGGACAAAGACTGCCATGGCGATGACTATCAGAAACCTCCAACTTCTTCTGCCGACATGGGATCTCTGAATCATTGCAGCCATAGCTGTAGCCATACCCAAGTTCCTCAAGAGATGGGTTGCTCAGCAGCTCGGGCAGATAACAACGAACGAAAGGAACCCTTACAATAACTCCAAGAGAGTACCTTCAATGGCTTTCCATGGCCGAAGACGGAGCTCAAAATCGCTTACCCACCAAACTTTTTGACTCAATTCAGTCCAGTCTCAGCTGCTACTGTCAATCGTGTCCCGAAAAGCAGCAAACTTTTTATCTTTCTCGACCTCACTGTTCAACAATATTACAAGCAGAGAGCGCCAAAACAGCAGCCTCGGTTTAAAACGACGTCGTATTATTGAACGGCCGCTTCCCTTCCAAAATATCCATTTCCTGCTGAGAAGAAACGAAGAAGATCGCCCTTGTGTAAGCTGTTCTGCTTTCGCTGACAGTAAAGGAATGGCCTTTGAGCTCACAATCTGCTGCTAATGGGGTCAGCTTCGCTTGCTACAGCTATGGCGCTGAAACTGCTTCAAATCCCGTTTCCGATTTCAGCTCCGCCGGCGTCGAACCCGTCTTTAAACCCAAACCCGGCATCGTCCACGCCCCACCACCGCCCTTCCACGGAGCTCCGCTTCTCCCGGTGGAACAACGCGAACGCTCGAGAATTCGAGGAGCGCCGGCGCTCGGTGAAGGAAATCGAGGACGACATCCGCCGCGCCCGTCGCTTCAATTCCGCCGACAACATCGTCGACACTTACGACCCGACTGCCGCAGCCCGGGCCGGACCTAATGCCGGCAGCAATTTCAGGTCCACGGGGACGCCTTCGTCGCCCTCGAGGTCGTCGATACCCGGTCGGAGATCCAAATACTCCAAACCCGAAGATCCGAAGGCCGCTCAACACCCGGCTTTCCGCCGAGTTGCGAGGGTCTCCAAACGGCCCCAACCCGTCGACCGGAAGGCCGACGTCAAGCTCAGCGAAGATGGGCTATCTTACGTAATCGACGGAGCGCCGTTCGAGTTCAAGTACAGCTACACGGAGGCGCCAAAGACGAAGCCGCTGAAGTTACGGGAGCCGCCGTTCTCGCCGTTTGGGCCGGTCACGATGCCTCGGCCGTGGACCGGAAGAGCGCCGCTGCCGCCAAGTAAGAAGAAGTTGAAGGAATTCGATTCGTTTCAGCCGCCGCCACCGGGTAAGAAAGGGATAAAGTCGGTTCAAGCACCCGGCCCGTTTCAGCCCGGGACGGGTCCTAGGTATGTGAATACACGGAATGAGATATTGGGGGAGCCATTGACGAAGGAGGAGATTAAGGCTTTGGTTGAAGGTTGCATCAAGGCGAAGCGGCAATTGAATATGGGTAAGCTAAGCTTCATGCTGTCCTCCAAGTGTTTGATAAAATGCCGCAGAGAACTGATAGCCAGTCGTCGTCCTTCTCTTTGTTATCAGGAAGAGATGGTCTTACACACAACATGCTTGACAACATACATGCTCACTGGAAGCGCCGGAGAGTCTGCAAGATCAAATGCAAAGGAGTTTGCACTGTTGATTTGGACAATGTCTGCGAAGAACTCGAGGTGGGTCTTCTTCAAACTTTCGGAGTCGGATCAACGTTAAGGTGACAGATAGTTTGTGCTTAGTTGTGTTTGATTATGTGACAGGAAAGGACTGGAGGGAAGATCATATACAAGAAAGGAGGAGTGCTGTATCTTTTCAGAGGCAGAAACTATAACTACAGAACTCGACCACACTTCCCACTCATGTTGTGGAAGCCACACGCTCCTGTGTATCCAAGGCTGATCCAACAAACTCCAGATGGTCTAACACTAGATGAAGCCTCCGAGATGCGCAAAAAAGGCCGGAATTTGGTACCCATTTGCAAACTAGGTAAAAAGCTAACAACTGCTATCATATAAGATAGAAGTAGGACAGTTCAAGTTATTGCTGAATGTCTGCAAATTATATTTGCTCACTTGCAGGGAAAAATGGTGTGTATGCTAAGCTGGCTGATAACGTCAGGGAAGCATTTGAAGAGTGTGAATTGGTCAGAATCAATTGTCAAGGGATGAATGGAAGCGACTTCAGGAAAATTGGCGCCAAGTTAAGGGTATGTCAAGCATCTTGTAATGTGGGTTTGTTGCCAACTGGCTCGATTTCGATGGGTATTGGAAGTAATTGCCCTGTGTTTGTGAATTTTGCAGGACATCGTTCCATGTGTGTTGATTTCATTTGAAAGTGAGCATATTCTTATGTGGAGGGGAAGGGACTGGAAGTCCTCCCTCTCTAAACCAACTCGTACGATTGAGCAAATCGAAGGTTCATCTTCTGTTATGCCAGAACTAGAAGACTCGGAAGTACTGGAAATGAATAGCACTTCTCGATTGGAATCCACAGAGAGCCCTAACATGTCTCTCATAGCATCTGAAGAAAAAGCAGAAATTACTTCTAGTGCAGAAACTTTTGTGCCATCAATTGCTGGCAGTTCTGTTGCCACGGAATCCGAAGCTACAACAATCCACACCAACAGTCACGAAACGTCTTCAGGGATCAAGATTTCTGCAGATGTGCAAGTTTATGAAAGCGAAACCACTTCACTTGATCCAAAGAGTGATACAGACAGTGAAGAGAAAACTATGATTGCTCAACATACCATAGAAGCAGCATTGACTGATGATACCATCCATGGAAATGAAGTACCAAATCAAGAAAGCTTGGAACAAGGCATCTCAGAAGAAACCATCCACCACCATCCCAGTGAACCGACGAGCTTGAGCTTGCCGTGCCTACAGGGAGTTGTACGTCTACTGAACCAAGCAGTTGAAAACGGAGCAGCAATTTCGTTGGACAGCAAGGAGTTGGATGCTGACAACGTCTACAAGAGAACGGTTGCCTTCTCCCGGTCAGCTCCACAGGGTCCTGTGTTCCAGTACAGGCGGCGGAGGAGGAAGGAAGAAGTGGAGCCGACGGAGGACAATGCAGAGAATGAAGAAAGGTCGGATGATTCGGAGGCTGTAGAATTTGCTCCACCAGCAGTTTTTGTGAAGAGAGGAGGGATTGAGAGGAAAAGTTCAGGACTTGGGAGAAGAAGGAAAGGAATGGATGAACAGTTTGAGTTAGTGGGTGGTGCTGTTCAGGGAAGCTTGGGGGTTGATGAACTTGCTCGGCTGCTAGCTTAATAAGAGCTTTCTTGGGTTCCAAGTTTATGTGTCTGTGCTGTACTACAATTCGGGTTGAATTAAAAAGAGAAATCCATGGAAATTATTCAATATCTATTCTTTTGTAGTAAAATTATCCGAAATTTCCACACACAAAAAATTCTATACAGAAAAGAACTCGAAAAAGAGATTCATAGCTAGGTTAAGGTACCGTGCAGGAAGATCCGAGATGAACACCTCCTCGTGGCAAAGCCAACAGTTAAAGTGAAATGGTGTTCTTTCGTATAATACAAATCCTTAAAATATGTGGTTGAAAAATTTTAATATTCGAATTTTCAAATAAAAGTTTGATAAATACAGGTTTATTAGAACAATCACGACGTGTTTTTATTTGTTTAATAAAAATGGTAAAATACTTTACTTTTGTACACTTGAGTAAGTTTTTGTCGTGTATCACTATTCACTAGGCAAATAGTCGACAAATCACAAATAAACAAGTTATTTGCCTTGAAATTTCGACGAAGACTGGTTTAGGATGGATATGGGAAAAATTTGTAAAGATATTGGCGGGGATAATGCGTAATGAATTTTGGGTCCTCCCCCTCATACCCGCTCCATCAAAGTTATTTCTATTTATACAAAAAAAAAATCATTGTGTTTGTTATGTGATTTGTCAATGGAAATGTGAAAATTGAAGAGCAAAATATCGACTTATATTTAATTAGCCACGTGTACCTATATATACCAAACAAGTGATAGGAGTTTGCACTATGGTTGTATGTGATTGTGTCTTTGTTGGCTTTGTGGTTTATTAGCTCAATTTAACGATTGCACGTAGGGAACGACTATCCAAAAACCGGCAATTATCAAATTGTCATTATGAAATCGTTTGTTTTAGCAATGTATTTCACCTTAATTGCCTCATTTATGGCTAAACTAGTATTAAAAGACAATGTGATCACATAATTTTACTTCCGGCAAACAAAAATCCAAAGTGGATAAGTAATTCTCGAAAGTGATTTTGATAATTACTTAATATAATTCCTCATCACCATCATTACAATGTATCTGATTTGATGTAAACTCCTTTGATTGTAAAAAGGGGGCACGTAATGCAATTGGAACGCGTGACATTGTTATTAACAAATATATTTTCAATTAGACTATAACTCTGTATACAAAACATAAATATAATTGTAATGCGGTTATCCCAATTCAAAAAAAAAAAAAATTCAAAACCTGCCAATTAACCCCAGTCTAGCTGCGTTCTACTTCTTCCCATCATTATAAAACACGAAGAATAACCTTCGAAATCAAATAGGCGATCAATTCATGAATGATTATTGTCTAGTAAGATATATCGAAAGAAATTTGTTGAACACTATATACAGTGAGTGTATTACTGTACTACATCTTTTACATACTATAAAAACATGTCGTGAATTTTTGTTATAAGTAACGTATACTAGTTCGCATATTTTTTTGTTATTATTTAAATTTATTTTATTTTTACTCTTATGAACAATTTTTTTTTTATATATATTTTGGAATCGGACACTCTCATATAAAATTCCTTTGCCCGCCCTGCATTAACCCAAAAATTTCATACTTCTTCCTAAACCGATGAACTCCAAATCTTACCACAAATCATCCTAAACAATCTATTAAACTATTCTTAAATTAAAAAAAAATATTTAGTGAACTGTCATGACATCCACCCCACCAATCAGATTATAACACGTAACTTTGCACCTTCACCTCGGAAGCACAGTTTCGGTACAACTACGACTATTAATTAACACTTACCATATAATATATTTATTTTATTTCCCTATTTAAAACATCACAATATAAATTCCCCGCTCCGCCTAAACCTCCGCTCCGCTCCCGCCTTCTTCCCCAAGTAATCAAAACCCTTATAACACCACCAAAAAAAGGAGACTGAATTTTTTTTTGAAATCAATGGACGACGAATCCGCCGCCGCCGCCGCGGCCAAGACCCACCAGGACAACAGAGAACTCTGCACAGCCGCCCTCCAGCTCGCCACCCTAATGTACACAACCCCCGACCCCGAAACCCTAGCCACCCTCCAGCAGATGAAGCGAAATTTCCTCTCCCCTGCCAATCCCCTGCCTCCGAATCGCCGCCGCGGAGGCGGCAGAGCGGAGGATTTCCCCGCCGCCCCAATTAAACTCCCCTCCGCCTACCCAATCGACGACGCGCAGATCAAGATGCTCCTCCGCGACCAGCCCCCCCGGCCGCCGATCCGGGGGCTGGAAACCCTAATCGGGCAATGCACGCCGCCGGAGGTGAAGCAGCTGACGGAGAGCGACATCAAGGACAGCCAGGCGAGGCTCTCCCTGCCGAAGCCCTACGGCAGGGAGAGCATCAAGCCCTTGCTGACCCCTGACGAGGACGTCGAGAAGGGGATTCCGGTCACGGCGTACGACGCCGACGGGGAGAGGTTCGAGATGAAACTGAAGCTCTGGGCCAATCGGAAGGTCTACGTGCTGACGAGCGGGTGGAAGCCGTTCGCCAAGGCTCACGGGCTGCGCCACCACGAGGATTTCGTCACCATTTGGGTTTTCCGGAAGCTGGACACGGGGAATTTGTGCGTCGCTATAACTTCGCGGCGGCTGCCGGTGTACTGGGCTCTGAAGCGGAGCCGGCCGCCGGCGATACAATGAAAAGGGTTCCGGTTAGTGTTCTTTTTTTTTTATTTGGGGGTTTGTTGCCGTCGTTGGTTTAGTGGCGGCGGGTTCTGCTGTGGAAAAAAAAAATTGTGGATATAGGTTAATTTTCTCAGAGCAGTGTGTGTATATAGTTAAAAGGGATTGTTTCGTCGGCCAGGCTCTTTGCTCTTTGGTAAAGATTCGAGGATTTGGGAGAACTTTCTTTGCCATGAGTTTTTCCAGGATTCTTGTGTTCTAATATGATCAATCTTTCGGGTACAGGAAATGTTCCTGAGTATTCGAGTTGTGGAAACTTGGGATGTATAGATGTGCGGGACATGGGTGGTTAATTTGTTTTGTTTGATAGTGATCTGCTTGTAAATAACTCGGATCGTTGCAGGTGGGTAATTGATGTGAGTGGATTTGGATCGGTGAATTCTCTTCACTCGTAGTACTTATTCAAGTGAGTACGGTGGGTGCGGGTGGGTTGCGAGTGAGTCGCTGGTGGATCGCATGAATAAATGACAACACGCTTTCACATTACAAATGACTGTTTTTTTTTGTTTACAGTATCGAATAGTTATCATAATTTCATAATCTTACCACATATTGATTATCGGCTTCTAAAGGCAGAACATATAGAACATATTTGGACGATAACTATTGATTACTGACTTAATATGTTGCGTCTATTAGATAATAAACTATTAATTGTATAAAAATCGCCAGAAAAACTCAAATTTCCTTTACAAAATTGGTTAATAGAGTAATGAAAGATTTGATGATACCTCTATCAAATAAGTGAAATACACATGCGCTATATGGTTAATGGCTTTATTTTCTCTCAACGAATATTTCATCTAAAATGATCAAATGAAAAGTTTGTACCCGTAAAAAAAAAAACTTTGCATATCACAGTTTCTAGAAGGATCTATTTGAGACAAAATTGAAGTTGTCTAAATTGCTAGTCTTTCTAATTTGCGAAAAACTTATTATAAATGTTAGTCAACATGTTCTAATGACTAGTTTGAGAATTTTTTTTTTTTTTATTAAATCGCAACTCAATCATACCCACTCGGTACCATCCAACCAAAAGAGGAATATTGGAGGATAACGAATCGCAATTAAATAAATTGACTTATCACTCAATTTGACACCTAAATGCATAAAAAAGAAGAATCTACTTCAACCAACAAGCCCTTAAGCACGACCATACATAATATAGAAATCACACTTAGAAATGGTGGCCAATTAGCTAGAGTTGCAGTTGCTACAGCTAAACTTATTGCAAAAGAGGGAAAATCAGCTACATTAAAATTAACTTACGAGAATGTGCGTTTAATATCCAAAAACTGAACAGCAAACTCATCCATTATCCACCCTTAGTCCCCCATTACCCACCCCTGGTCACGATTGCTTGGCGAGCATAAACGAAATCATATGAGCGAGTTAGCCCAAATGATAACTAGAGGTCAACCGCAATAGATGATACAAACAAAGAAGCCCTAGAGCTGAGCAAACTGCTTCTGTCTCGAATTCCTGATAACAAGTAACAACTATTCAAATTCCACAATCCATCTTCGTTCTATTCTGAAACGAGCACAGTAAGATTGAGAGGGCACTTGCTACAGAAGTGAAAAGTTCGCAACACAAGCGCCCAGATTACGTCTAATACATTGGAGGAAATGTTTGCAGGCTCGAGCTTCGTTTAAAGAAAGAAGTTACTCCACTTCCCCAAGATAATCATCGATTTCGGCTGGAGTCAGAACCCTGCAACAAGTAGTAACAGTTTCAATGTAAGCTTCGCGGTCCATGTCACCGGTATACTACTACTACTACTACTACAACCATCCCAAGTTTCAAGCTTTGGTGTAAAGAAATAAACACTATGAGCATGCTTACTTGAATATCTTTTCTGGTCCGATGGTGGCAATCTCGATGTTCTTTCCTGAAATCTGTCCCTCAAAACTGCCCAAAGGAACAGCCATTTGAATGGAAGTTCAACCAGAAGATCCACACAAAAAAAGTAATCGACAACAGCCCAAAATCCCCATTCCCATCCCCAACATTAGTAGTGTGATCCTGGTGACAAATATTACTACTATATTAAACGATAGGGGCAAAGTTGAAGAGAAAGTATGGCTTACCCTTCCTTCAAAGTTAAAATAGCAGTGTGCACAGCATCTTCGAGCTCCACATCGTCAGTATACCTACAATAGATAAACAAAATTTGTGAGAGCCAATATTGTAAATGACAGGAAATCTAATCAACAGACAAGTGTGCAGGGTATCTAGATTGCCATAACAAGACCAAACCGTAGCTCAGTAAGAACAGATAAACAGCTCGAGGCAACAGCAGCATTGTAAATTTAACAGCATGCTTGGCCTCCAAGTTTCGATACAAATGAAATAATCTGAACTCAGTGAGAGAGATCCTCTATTCGCTTTGCAAGGTCTGTGAGCCCAGCTCAAATGACAACCAAAGCACCATCAACAATAGGCAAATACAATGATAATATAACCACATAAAACAAGTACCTCTTCTCAAGGAATGTTTTTGCGTTTGAGACATTCTTCCCCATTGCTGAGGCTTTCCATGAGAAATAGGAACCTGAAGGATCCACCTGACAAAGAAACAATAAATAATAAATGTAAACAAACTCATAACTCCAAATCCCACAAAAAATTTGAAGGATTAGAATAGTATTGAAGAGAGTCTATCAAGTTCTTCAACACAGAGGAGGTCATGATAATCTGTTACGAAATTGCCAAATATTTTGAATAGAGGAAGAGTGATGCATGTCCAAAGGCCAAATACTAATCACAGTCAGCATCTATCCAGTGACAAAGAGAACACATCACATAAATTTCTCAGAATCATGTTGCAAAGTGGATTTACCTGATACAGTTGTGGACCTTTGTCATCATAACCAGCAACCAGGAGAGATACACCAAAAGGTCTCACCCCTCTGAATAGAAGACAAATAAGTTCTCGTGTCAAACACATACGGAATAATCAAGAGCAAACATTGATAGAAGTTCCAAAAATGTGATCGGAAGATGATCAATGCACTCCAAAACTGAGGAAAAGCTGAACTTTCAACAATAAGCAACATATAGCATGTTTATGCTCCTTTCCAAACATCCCATGTTGGTCCAGAGGCTCTCCATTATATTCTTTTTCAAGAGTTAGTTTCTACACCCATTCTCTGAGGGGTGTGGCATCTTGTTGAAAGAATCAGATGCCTGAAAATCAATCAGTTTGCCATTATGTACACCGTGAGCCCAGTTAAGTGTAATTACCCAGATTGAGTAAACTCCTGCATGACAGCAGCAGTTTCCCTCACAAGTTGTGTGACAGGGATTTGTTCCTACAACCACAAACAATCGTACATATCTTCAATGAAGCAGCAAGGAACACAAGTAAATTGGCTCATATATATCATTACGAGAAAGTTGCACGACAACCTCTAGCACAATAAAAATGGCCAACAATTCTCCATCGTAAAGTGAAGTCAGGTTTAGAATTGAACCACAAAGATAAAGACCTGAAAATGCTATAACCAATCTAATACCAGAATCTCCTTAAAGCCTGAGCATGAAAAATCCACATCCTCATTGATTTTAGGCCAACACAATGTCCAAAGAATCGTATATTCAATGTAAACAGACCAAGTATTTTACGCTACATCAGTCGGGAAGGGAATAAGTTCATGACTCAGCAAAAAATTATTAATTGTACGAAGAACTGGAACCCGTTCGAACTCATAAGAAAATTGATATTCAGGATTCTTGTTTTAACTTGTAGCTAGTACCTTGTATAACATGTGATATTGTTCAGCCTGCTTCCTGCTTTTCCGAACCAAAACTCGAAAATCAGGACCCATGCCACTGCAGAGGAAACAAGATTGTTGGGAGACTATAGCAAGAGTGAAACAGAATTACTATAAAAGTCAATCAACTTCTGCGGCTAAAATTTCAAGGCTATGTAATCTAAAGAATGGAAAGCACCAGCATTTTATAAATTTAATCATCCTCGGCATACAATAAGCTAACCAGATTAGCCTACTTATTCACAAAAAAGTAGGAAGAAAGCTAACCTGTATACAACTCCAATATTTGGGGTTAGTGATTGTATTTTCTGGACCTGAAACAAATGCAGAGTAATTAGGGCAGGCAGATAATGGCCTGGATATAAGGGCCAGAATCAATCGAATACCGAAACCGATGAGACTCAGAGCTGTACAATACAACATTACAGTCGTTTGAGACACATTTTTGTATGTAAAATTTCTAAAGACATACTACTAAAATAGCCTGGGAACAAAAAAGATAGGCAGTAAGCATATGTACTGGATGGAAGAACCAAATTAAGTACTTACTGATGCTTCATCAACCAGTATGGAAGGTAGCTTCTTCTCAGTCGCAATAACAACCCCATTAGAAGCTGTACAAATAATACGGAAATTCAAACCAATTGGAAAATATAGGAATTATGGAATTTAGAACTAAAAGAAACCTAATTTATGAACTGGGCTCAACTGAAGTTGCAGACTTCAGCTGGTTTTTGTGATTATACATTTGAGAACCGATGATTAGAACAACAAACGGAAGGGTGAAAGAGGAACTAAGTGAAGCCGAACCTTTGATTCCGAGAGAGGTTTGGCCAGAGCCCACGGCCGTCAAGGCGTGCTCGATCTGAACGAGCTTGCCGGAAGGACTGCCCGAATTGAGAAAATCAAGCAAACAAATCATTAAGCAAAACTCAAAACCAAGAACAAATGAACTCTCAAGAAAGGCGATTAAATCGCTCACCTGAAAGTGGTGAGAGAAAACGAGTACTGCGAGTCACCCATTTGCCAAACAACTACACAAGATTCATCAGAAAATTAAAACCCTAAAACGCAGAGAGCAAAACAATCCCGTCGAATTGCACCAACAGAACAACGAAGAGCTGAGCCCGCAACAACTCACCTCCGATACGCTTTCCCGGCGACGAGAGACGAAGAGTAAAGAATTGCTCCTTGAGATGGTAATTCGCCGGAGGGATCTTCCTGAACTCGCTTGAGTTTCTTTCTCGGTGTTTGATTACTTTCTTTTTCTTTATTTCAAGTAGCTCTGATCTCTTTCTTGGAGAAGAAGAAGGCTTCCCTTCCAGTGGACCGACGGGTACGTTCTGTGTGTTCCATATGTTGGGCTGGGCCCTAATTGTAAGAGGCTTTAAACGGTTGGCAGGCCTGCATAAATGAAAATTAAGGGTGTGATTTGGAAATTGTGATTGTTGAATATGTATTGTTGTGAATGCATGTATAATATTATACATGTATTGTCGAATTTGATGCATTGTAAAATACAATGTTTGATATGTCTGATTGTGTATGTCATATCAGCTAAAATCTGAGACAAAACGATCTCAATATAACAATCTCAGCAATCACAGTTCAAAGTTGAGATATAACAATCACTCATTTTGAGTGATAGTTTATGTCACATCACATAAACAATCCATGTATTGTTTCTGCTATAAAAAAACAATCATTCTAAACAATACATGTATGGCAACAATCTCACCAAAACAATCTCAACTTCCCAACGACCCCTAAATGTAGATTAAGAAAGCTGTTGTAGCATTCCTTTGATTCAACTATGTCTGTTATTTTAAAGGTAAAGTACCATACATGGACTTCTCCCAACAACTCGAGTTATTGGGAACAGTTGGTTTATGACATGGTATAAGAACTGGTTTGTTCTTGAGGTCACGTGTTCAAGTCATCACGACTCCCAATATTAACCGTTGTCTTCAAGCACGTTGTATGCTCGTCCTGTGCAAACTTCAAGCCCCGTGAGTTGGCTTTCATTTGAGGAGTCGTGTAAGAAAGTAGTTAAGTATCACACATGGACCTCTCCCAAGAACTCGAGTTATTGAGACTTGTTGGTTTATGACAACATCTATTTTTAGAATACTTACTAACTATGAATGAGATCTTCGCTTTCCTTAACCCATCTATGATTTTCAAACTCATATACATATCTTAGAGTTTCTTATAATTAATCGATCACTAATGGATTCACCCTTTTCCTAAAAATGATGCCAGAGCAATCAAAATCTTTCCTTCTCTAAGTCCATGACTGATGCATCCTTCCTCTTTATGCACGATTCTTAGAATCAACATTAAGTTTGAATTTTTGTAAGGTCTCTGTACTTAAACCTCTTCGAATCCAAGTTAGGGCTCATCACCACCCCATTTCATCATCATGATATTCTCTTTTGCCAAACGTTCACGAGAGCTCTCCTATTGGATCCCATTCCTATGAACTCTCATCGCCATGATCAAGCTTACTCCAATTGTGAAATCACTCCCTACTATGAAGTCTATTTCCAACTCAATTTTCACAATCTTGGTTGGAACTTCCTTCTCGAGCCTCCCACTCCAATCTACCCTGAAATAGTGAGGTATTTCTATTTAAATCTTTGAAATGTTGGCCTTCATATTTGTACTTTCATAACTATTGTGTTTTGCCATATGATCACCATCCCAGTCTCTGAGCTCCATCACATTCTAAACGCTCCGGAAGAAGGATATTCATTTGCCCATGACTCTGAGTTGGAAGCCTATTGTTTTGACATCAACCATGAGGTCGTTCAGCTTAACAGCCATCCTCCTGGTCACCTGGTGAGCTTCTCATGATTCTAGCTGCCACTCTCCCACCATATCTAAGGTTATTCCATTACTTCCTCACTTGGACATTCTTCCCCGGAGTGCTCTTTCCGGATATGATCCTACATTATGATCTCTAGATTCTCTCTCATGTGTGGCATTCCTCTTGATTTTACTCATCTTTTCTTCGGAACCCTGGAGCCCTTTGATGACTTCAGCTATCATGTCTCACTACCCTTTGGACCCCTGACAACTTGTCTCCAAATCAACCTTGGGATCAATCTCTCAACCTTTCAAATCATCATGCCCATTTTGTTTCTCATCACAAACGATGTTCTCCAAGAATTGGAGCTTGCGATTGAGAGCGAGGATGATTCTCTTGAAGAAGATGATCCTTAAGTAGTCTGGCTAAGCATCGGCATTGAGTTAGAGTCATAGGATCACAGTGAGCAAGCCTCTCTTGCTAACAGGATTGATCCAGATTCACCACTAATCACTGAGTCGGCCTCTCTTCCCAAAAAGAGTGATCCAGATTCACCCTAGTTCGATGATCTAGCCTATCTTGCCAATAGAAGTTATCTAGACTCACTTCAGTTTGCACCCTATGACTACGAGAATCATTCTGAAAGCACAAACCTCAACAACTGATGAGTGATCAAATCGGTTGAGTGATGGGAGAAAGACATGAAATTGCATAAAATAAAAGCAGGGGAAGATTGTTGGGGGGGGGGGGGAATTCTCTTTCCGAAAATGTAAAATAAATAAATTATTACTTGTCACATTTGCGAATGTATGATTACATGAAAGAATCTCCCAAATTAAAGGAAGATCAAGTGAAAGATTGTTGCACCAAGATGGAGTATAAATAGAAGGAAGAAACAAGACGAGACTCACGAATGTGACAAAGCAATCCTACACAGAACAAGATCAAACACTTTGTGATTAGCAATAGGTGTAAGACGTTATCGGTGTGTGGTGTCTGTATTGCTCGAGTGTTTATGAGGAAGAGAGAAAGAGATATATTGCTCTATTCTTGTCAAGGTTTGAGTTCCACCCAAAGAAACTCAACTTGGAGTTAAATCGGAATAAGATAATAACCTAGACTCTAGCTATGTTCAAAGGGTGAGCCACCTTTGAGCGGAGACGTAAGCGATATGCTGAACTCGGTTAACAAAAAATCATATGTCCCTGTTCCTCTCCTTACTACTTGTCACGTAAGCGACATGATGTAGTAATTTTTTATCTTTTTTTTTTTTGTGAGAAGTAATTGTTATCTTTACTACCATGGCAAAGCTCTCATATTTTTTTTAATGGTTAATGGGCTCTTCTCATCAATGGACTCCTAGCGTGTACAAAGGAGCAAGGTTCGTTAAAAAATTTTCCAGGAAATCCCTAGGAAAGTTGGTGCGACTAATTCGAAGTTCGAAAGAATTCACCAACAAGAGAAGATTTAAGAAGGGAAAGTAAACTTGAAGATGGCTCCAAAATATGCGGCAGCATTTTCCTGGTTTTAGGATCTCGGTGATGAACGTACCAAGACAAAATCAAATGAAATTAATTATTAATAACACCCTCAATTCGAAGCCAAATTCCCATCAGTCACTTTCTAAGTAATAGATTAAGCAAGAAAACAAACATATATTATTGGTGTTGTGAATTGTGATGAATGGTTTTGTCTGGCTTTTTTCTTAATAATTACAAACGTAGCTTTCACTACTAATAACTTGGAAATTGTTATTAGAAAAAGCTTTATATAATTTTCCATATCCCAGCTGGAGAGGAGAGTACTATAGAAAAACTGACGAGACCAAGAAAATGTATTAAAAACAAATCTATGGTGGAGGAGGCAGGAGATTCCCATCCAACAAAAATACAACTTCATTCCAATTGATTTGTTTAAGGTTGGGTAGTGGAGTCCGTATTCAGAATTACCAATACGAATCACATTTCGGTTTGAGATTATGTAAGTTCCCGGTAAGTTCACATTTGATAATGGTTTCACCTCCGAAATCGACCTTGAAAATGTTAACGAGACAATCATCCTCCGTTCTGGTAACATATGTACATGCAGACAAAGCGGTTAAGATTGGTCCATATTGTGCGTGGAGCCTCCAATGGCTTCGTTGTTGTTTTCTTTATCTATCAAAAGTGAGGCCCGTCCTGCGAAATTGTCCGCAACATCTTAGTTATGGTGACACAAGGTGCTAAAATGACATTCACAGTCCACATGAAATACTTGAAACTCGATAAGTGCCCCACCAAATTGACTCTACATTTGATGACTGGTTCTCTGTGTGGTCTCAAATACTAAGTGGTAACTGAAGTAATTACTCGAGGTTGACTGAGAATCTCTAGGATAAACGTTCTAGTGCCCATATATGACCGTCTTAATCTTCTTCGAGACATATCAGTGTATGACAACTTATTACTTACCATTGATGTATGAGAGTTCATTTTATTTTCAAATGTGTATGACAACGCAAATCAACCAGACGATGCTCATCATTATGCCAAATATCGATCTAGGATCCTATCAACCATTCGTCACATACTAAACTGTGTTGTAGTTCAAATGATAAAAAAAAGTCCACCACCCCTATAAGAGATTTAACAAGCAAATTGTGGTTCAACTCTCTATCAAATAAAAAATTTCTGTTAAACTTAATCATTACCCATAAGAATTTAAAACTTCTTTGAGAATTTCTATCTTGACGATTATAATTCATCCAAAGAAGCTTTCTCTGTCCATCTCCTATAAAGTCCAACATTTCTTTTGTTTACAAGGTATCGTTTGCTTGTGGGATTTGGGTGATTGATTTGGTATCCAAATCCCAAGCATCATGGACTTGACACAAATCGATTGTTTCCTAAGGGACCCAAATCCGTGGGGCCCATGGATTTAGAATCTATTTTTAGATCCAAATCCATGGAAATCCCACATTTCATTTGAAATTTGATAATGGAAGACAAAGTTGTGAGAGAAATCCATCATGAATCTATGATAAAAATTAGGATAATGTCTATTTTTATCCAAATCATTTTCAGATTCCTGTGAATTATTAAAACCTATTAAAATGCCATTAATTAGCTAAATCTTTTGTAATGCATCAAAATATTAGCCATTTTTACGTTATCGTTAATAATTTTGTAACTCTTTCCTTAGTTAAAATACTAAACTTTTTGAATGTTGACCTTCATGTGTTTCTTCCAAGTCAGTATCATGTTGCCAAATCAATATTACTAACAAAAATTGCTAACTGGAAGTTAACATTTGACTAATTCTTAGTATTTCGATAGATTTGACTAATAAAAAAGAATCCGAAAAATGTTTGGCTAATAGATAGTCAATACCCTAAAAATTAACTAAACAAACAATGTACTCTTCCAAATTCATAATGCAACAAATCTATCATAAATCTAAAAAATTTAAAAACTTTAAACCCTCATTTTCAAATCCAACAAGCAAACAACGTTTCAAATCCACCAATCCATTCACTAAATTATTCACATAATCCAATTAATTTAGATCCATATACAATGCATGATTTTTTGTTAATATAATAAAATAAGTTAATACCTATGCATTTTATATTGTACATTTTGATATCGAATTTATCTTTTAATAAAAACATACTTCTAAAATTGTATTTGCCATAATATGATACTTTTAGTATCCAAACTTTTTAAAATTTTCAAATCAATCCAAAAATTCGGTGCTATTTATTTAGATGCACCAATCCAACCCTCGAATTCAATCACACTATAATCCATAATCTACCTCTAATCTAGTATTCGTTTAACTATTTTAATAATCACCGTAGCTCTTTTTTCTTTTAGACGAGGAGGCGGAATGAACACGACCTTCACATGCTGAAAAAAATTCATTTTATGCAAAAGAAGAAAAAAAAAAAATCCAGTTCGTTTCTACCATTTTTGTCCTCTCCCTCTCCCACAGCCCCACCTCCTCCGTTGTTTTGCCTTCCCCTCCCCTCTCTCTATATCACAGTGCTTTGCTCTGCTCAAAAGGGGCCGAGCTCTGATTTGATTCTCTGCTTTTGTCCTTCCTTGATGCAGGTACACTTCTCTCTCCACTCTCCCTCTTCTTTCTCCTTCTGTTTCTCTGCTAACCCTTTTGGTAGATTTTCTGATAGCTTCCTGGATTTCTCAATCCTTTTTGGTCTTTCCTCAATTTAATCCTTACTATTCCTGGCTGTGTCATGATGTTTTGGTCTCTGGGGTTGAATCAGTTTGACGAGAATGATGATTTGAGCCTTAGTTGTCTGAATCCCTTATGGTTTTGCGGTTTGGCGCTGTCGAGCTATAGTGGGTTGCTCTTAATTTCCTCGAAAGTTTGAGGATTTGCGTGCATGGTATTGTCGAGGGGCAGATCTGGGTTGTTCTTGGTTTAGTTGCTTATAAAGAAATTTAGGCGGAGGAAGAAGATATTTTAGAATGAATTTCTGGGTGCTGCTGACTGTTCAATTATTTGTTTATGTTAAATTTCTGGTGAAATCTGGTTTCTTTCTTCCCCAGAAGAACTGAGCAATATACAGTTCCTTCGCACTCGATTTGAGCTATTGATTCCATCGTTATGGTTTTGTTCAACTCTTCTTCCTTTTTGTTCTTTCTCTTGTCATGTTCTGAACTTTGAGTTGTGATTGTAGTAAATTGGAAGGAACACTGTTCTTGGCTAGATTAATGTGTCTCTCTGTGGCTTGGGGCTTAGATCTGAGTAAAGAGCCGCAGAAGTTTCGTGGGAAAGAGCTGATTTTTGAAATGTGGTGGGGTTTGTTTGATTTGTTAAATTGCTTGAATATTGCATTATTCAATCTAAATGTATGTTGAATCCTTGTTTTTATCTACCTAAGTTGTCTTGTGCTTTGTTGTGTTTGTAGTATGTACCACCTTGTGAACATGTCTGATGATATTGCAAGCACTGTGAATGAATTAACGAAAATGAGCCTTTCAGTTCTCCTACTTGATTCGGATTTGATGAGGAAGATGTACCTGTTAGTGTTATTACTTATTTTACCTTACTAGTTCAGTCATTTTCTGGAGGTATGAGTAATTTACTCTGAACTAGATTGTAAGTCATCCAAATGGCTACTATGCTTGGCATCAATAAGTTTTCTTATAGTTTATGTTTGAATCGAGTTTTGTCTTTGTCAGGCTTGTTCATTTTTCATGATATCAAGTTTGTGCTCACAGGTTGTTTGGACACAATTGCTTTCTTTTGCTGATGTCTAATGTGACAAGTGCTGTTTGTTTCAATAATCATCGTCAGAAGTGAAAAGCGGGACAGTTTTTGTACTATCCTGCAGTGAGAGGTGCCATATTTGATATCCAGAACATGGAGGACGAGAACGGCCTTGAGCTAAGCTTGGGTCTAGGTTTTGGTGGATCCTCCTCCAAATCTAAGAGTAAAAATGAAAGCTCCCTGGATATTAGGATAGAAGACAAGAAAGCAAACAAACAGAAAGATGATTTGAAAGTTCTTGGTGATAGCTCTCAGAAGCAAGATTCAAGCGCTGGATATCATTCTCAGAGGAACGATTCGATAAAGCCACAGGAGAACTTCTTCCTTGACCTAACAAGTAGAAATGCTGATACTGATGCATCCAAAAGCCTTGGTGCTAGGGGTCTTTGGGCAGGATCTAGTAATAATAGATACACAGAAATTGAAGAGGAGAAAAGGAGTGAAGGGATTGCTAACAAACGTAAACTAGATTTTGAGGACATAAGTGCTCAGAAGAAGCCAGATAGAGATGCTAACCGGATAGATTTTCATGACAAGAGAACATCTCATGTTTCTCTAACGGAAGAAGGATCCACTGCTGAAAATGAAGATGTTGCAGATTCGGAAGTAGAAGGTTCGACCTCGAGGTTTATTGATGAGGGCTCCAAGCAGCGGTTTGTTGGAGTTGGTGGTCCAGAGGCTCCAAAGGAGTTTCAAAGGTTTCCTGATGCAAGTATGACGGAGTTGCATGGTCAAAGAAGGCCTGCTGGTTTGCCGGAAAATGGATCTAAACACGGGATGAATTTTGGGGTCCCATTTTCGGTCCAACCAGCAAACATCATGAGCATGTCCTACCAATATTCAGTGGAAGATTCCAACCCAGTTGGTGCAAGCATGACGCCGGTAGTTTCTACTTCAAATGATGACCAGCGAATGGCAGTCCACAAATTGAATCCAGGTACTTCATCAATAGCTTTCGGCTACTCGCCTGTCCAGCTTCCAACTCTGGACAAAGATAATTCGTGGGGCCTGATTTCTCAGCATCAACACTTCCAGCCTCCTTATGGAGCCAAACCACCTGCAACCTTGGATAATAAAAATCATGAAGGACTCAGAATTTCTCAAGGTACTTTTTTCTTCTTCTTTCTTCTGTTAGTTTAGTTCTCTCTGCAATAATAGATCTCCGAAGAAGACATACTGGTCTAGTGAGATCAGACAAATCAAGAAGACATGATCCATGCTCTTACAGCCATGCAAACGGCTGTTGCTGACTCCATTATTTAAACTTGCAGCCATGCAAATAATTGGTCGAAACTCCTCCGAGGCTGCACCGTATGATGCAAGAGTGTTTGATCGGCCCAAAGGTGATGGTGTCAAACAACATGGCGCAGAACAAGAAGGCTCCTCCTCTCAGGCCGAAGATGAAGGAAAGAACAGCAGCAAAACAAACTGTCGAGCAGCACCAGCACCAGAAGACGGGTTGTCTCATGACTTCTCGGCCATAAAGCCGGGAATTTCTCCCGAGGTCAAGTTCGGAGGCTCCGGATCCTACCCAAACCTGCCGTGGGTTTCCACCAAGGCTCCAGGCCCAAACGGTCGGACGATATCAGGCGTAACTTACAGGTTTAGCCCCAGCCAGATAAGGATCGTTTGCGCCTGCCACGGTACGCACATGTCCCCCGAGGAATTCATCCGGCATGCAAGCGACGAGAACGCCTCCACGGGAGAGGATAACAACGGTGGGTTAGCGGCAGCATTTCCAGGTACCAATAACCCATCTGCATCTGCTCATAGTTGAGAGGTGTTTGAACTACGCAGTTGTTACCACATACAAGTAGACGCTAGGCTATCAGTTTAAGCGACCAGCTTTTGTATACTGTTAGAGAATCCACACTCCTTTTTTTTTGTTCTCTCCTTTGCTTCTTGTTGCTTGCTGTGTTGTTGGAATTGTCGTGGTGTCGATATTGTTGTTTGTGATGATATTCATCTCTCTGTTACTCTCTACAATCGAGTGTCTTGCGGGTTCGTGTTGTTCTATAATCAACATGGGTACAATGTCGTCGTGACTATGGTTGACGGGAGGAAAACTTGAAAGGCATGATTGCCATGTCGTCACAGGTTATGGCAAATGGCTGTTAGCAGCACCTGTGTTTCCATTTCGTTGCAGGATTGAGCAGGAGAAGACGGGATCCGCCATAACCATGCTGGTAAGTCTTGTTCCACAGCTTACGTTATGAACATGTACAGTGAGTTTAGGGTTACTACTGTCTTGCTGATGTTCTGGTAATTACAAGTTAGTGTCTTGTTTCTTTCGATGTGACTAAACAAGAAAACCATTAGTGTCGTATTTGGGCAAGGTAGCAGCATTGATTGATCCCCCGCTTTCAATAATGGCTGCTCTTTGGTTGACATTTTTCCGAGAATGGAAATAAGAAATTGCTGTCTCATTTTCGAAAGGAAGAAACAAAATTTGCGGGAAATTTTTGGTTCTCTTGTTTTGATGTCTGGTTTTGTCCTTGAAAGACAAGAAAGAAGAACACGTACAAACAAACTTGAGCTTGTTTTGTCCATGTCCGTTGACTTTCTGCTCGGCGTGTGTGTCACTGTCTCCTCCTTTTATATTTCATTATTTAAGGTCTTTAATCGTGTAATAATGTCGTCGATGATGAACAAGAAAATAAATGAATTTACGTGATAGGGATGTAGTTCAAGGATTTCTTATAGATTAGTCGTGATTCTAAAAGAAACGTCTATATACGATACACGGCTATCGTGATCTCGAAATGTGAGGTGCACCATGTCCTAGCCATGTTACATGTAACTTCTTGCAAAAATTTTAACTTGACATTGCCCTATTGATTATTGATCCTTGGTCTCTTTCGAAACTACAAATACCTTTGTTTGACTATAAGATTTACCAAATTATTTTTTTTTTTTTGGTGAAACAAATTATTATGAATACTCTTACGATGGTTTAGGGTTCCCTCCAGCTCTAGTTTGGTCTTCTTTCTCTTGGATGGTTATGGATGGTTATAGTTGTAGTCGCGTCTCCTAATCATACTTTGTTATTAAACTAAAATGATGATTAGACGATCATGTCAACTGCTTGCTTGGGCTATTGGCCTTTCATATTAAATTACGTTTGAGTTGCTAATAGCATTCCACATATTATATTTTAGGTGGTGATTTGGACTATTCTTCGAGCTTGAATTGAATGTTGAAATCAACGGTATAGATTATAAGTGGAAGCCTGCTTTTGATATACACTCTTTTAATTGATGGCCAATTAAATATGAAAAGACTAGTCGAGTAGTTGAATTGCATGATGTTGAATATGGTTAAACTTCTTACAATTGTTGGCTTTGTGAAAGGGTGTAAATATATTTTTCTTAAAAATGAACGTAGTTTACGATGACTCTATTGTAATTCTAATCTTCTAGTTTTGGGTTTACATAAACTCTCGTTCCAAGACTAAAATCTCAACAAGAGCGAAAAAAAATCTGTGTCAGATACATTATAACGGGAAATCTTTTTATTGAGAGAATAACAAAATCTTCATTGAGGTAAAACTATGATCTTATATTGCCACTAGAAATTGGACAAAAAGAAAGTGTGTGATAGGTTTTAGATAGGGTTAAAGACACATTTGGTCACTGAGATTACAAAATCGGGACATGTTTAGTCACCAGAAAAAGTTAATATCAAATTTGGTCACTACAATTACTAAAACTGGACGCATTTAGTCACTCGCCGTTAGTCTCCGTCCAACTCCGTTAATCAAGTCCGTTAATTGCTGATGTGGCAAACAGAATTGCCTAATCAGCCGGATATAACCCAACAAAAATAAAACCCGACCCGCCACGTCATTATAACCCGCCACGTCATTAAAACCAACCCAACCCAACCCAACTCATGACCCAACCCTTCTTCCTCCTTCCTCCCACCTCGGCACCTCCCACCTCCTTCTTTCCCCAAAACCACCGCCGCTGCCGCCGCTCTCCTCCTTCCTCCCACCTCCTCCCGCAAACCTGTTCGACCAAACCCGATACGACTAAAGAGCAAATTTCGTGACTTCAGATCTCTAGGAAGGAACTAACTTTCACCGAACCCAATCGATCTCGGAAAAGAGAAATCAGAGCAGCAGAGGAGATAAAAAGATAGGGTGGAAAGGAGGAAATTTTAATTTCCCCTGTTTTGGAAAGGTTTGACTCTTCTCCCCCTACCCAGCCAGCAGCATTACACGAATCCCAGCCCTGACCGCCACGCGTAGGTTCAGGCGTAACTCCCCTTTTTCTCCACTCTACTTACGGCGTCGTCGCAAAATCAACGCGTCTTCCTCACTGAAGAGAATGAAACTGAATCTCCGATTTCCCCGGGGAAGGCAATTCAAAGAGTAATCGATGAAGTCTCACCGGCAGACGGAACGACTTGGCAATTGGCGGATCTCGGCGGAGACTGTGAATGTGGTAACCGACAAACAAAATGAGGGAAGTTTGCGGTTGGTACTTGGTATTAGGTATTTATTCGCCTCCCCTAGAAAAAAATCGGAAACAGAGAGGAAAAAAAAAGTCCCCGTCAGAGAAATGAATGAACAATACTAACAAAAATGAACCAACTTGTGAGAGGGGAAGTGGAAAATCCCACAACTGCAGACTTTCAGAGATTCTCTCTCTGTATGGGAGCCTGTGAGGTTTGCCGGCCTGGAGATTTCGGGGAGGAAGAGAGGGAAAGAAGAAAAAAACCCGATACGACTAAAGGATTGGTCTGCTGTATTTGGTCGAACAGGTTTGCGGGAGGAGGTGGGAGGAAGGAGGAGAGTGGCGGCGGCAGCGGTGGTTTTGGGAAAAGAAGGAGGTGGGAGGTGCCGAGGTGGGAGGAAGGAGGAAGAAGGGTTGGGTAGGGTTGGGTCATGGGTTGGGTTGGGTTGGTTTTAATGACGTGGCGGGTTATAATGACGTGGCAGGTCGGGTTTTATTTTTGTTGGGTTATATCCGGCTGATTAGGCAATTCTGTTTGCCACATCAGCACTTAACGGACTTCATTAACGGAGTTGGACGGAGACTAACGGCGAGTGACTAAATGCGTCCAGTTTTAGTAATTGTAGTGACCAAATTTGATATTAACTTTTTCTAGTGACTAAACATGTCCCGATTTTGTAATCTTAGTGACCAAATGTGTCTTTAACCCGTTTTAGATATATCAAAAAATTTCATTTAAAGGAGAGATTGAAGTGGACACCCTTCTTTATTAAGTTTCCATGTTTATGTACTTGGATTAAAAAAAAAGTGAAGCCTTTGACGAAAATATAACGAGGGTAATTATATTTTGCTTGAAGCACTTCATCGGAAAAAGAATATATACGCAAATTACCCTATCAATTCATAAGTAAGGCCATCGGTGGTTACCACGGAATGAAATGTCCTTGCTCACGCAGAATGTTTTCCTCTAATCGTTTATACACTTTCGAGATAGAATGCAATAGAAAGAAAGTTAGATATCGAAATCGAGAAAAAAAATACGTTTCATAATTGCAAGTTGGTGTTAAATTTAACTTCAAGAAAAGCTCCCTTATATCACATTACCCTTTGCCTTACCAACTACAGATTCTGGTTTCTTATTTCCAAATTCACCCACTTCAAAACCTTATTGTATTTAAAAAACAATCTTCAACGTTCAATGGAGAGATTGAAGAGGAGATTATGTCAAGTCTTAATTGAAAAGTGCTTAATTTTTATTAAGCGTGATAGACAACGTACGGCATGAAAGATCATCGATTTCATAAAGATCTCTTTCCCTATTAAATGCAGATCCAGTGAGTTCCATGCTCAAAGTAAATATAACTTCAGTGGAATCAGATCAAGTGTATTTGGTGCAATTCGAATATCAATTTGATCATATTTTTTCCGGGCTTAATTGCAAGTTTGGTCACTCGAATTGCTTAAAAATTTCACGTTTGCCACCCGAATTGATTTATTCCATTTATAGTCACTCGAATTAGTTGAACAGTCCAAATTCGGTCACTCTCCGTTAACCTCCGTTAGACTCCGTTAATGATGACCGTTAAGTGATGACGTGACTAACAGAAAGACACAGTCAGCACATTTAAACATTAAAAAAAGACGACCCGACCCGCCAACTCAGCCTTACTTGCCCAACCCAAGAACCAACCCAGCCATCAACAGAACCGCCGCTTGCTCTACCTCCCCCAACTTCCTTCTCTGCTTCTCCACCTTCGATCTCTGTTGCTGCTTCATCATTACTTCCCTTCCCAACGCCACAAATCTCGCTTTCAGCCCGTTTCCCACAAGCTTGTTACTGCTGGTGTGACCATTATGCCCTCCTCCTCCGCCACCGCCGCCATGAGTCAGAGCCTTCTTCGCCGCCGATTTCTTCTCGGTGGATGACGATTTGTTTAACCCTAGTATATCCCTTCTCTTCTTCCTGCTCCTGATCCCACACGCGTTGCAAAGCGACTGCAAGGGAAAAAAAGGACAGAACCCACGATCAGAAACACAGATCGGACGGTGGAGATTGAATCAGAGATCGATCATGATTGTAATGAACGGCTGGCGATGATTAATTTACCTTGGGACCGGCAGGGCCGCCTCTCCATAGAGGGGTCTTGCTTGTGCCGCAATCGGCGCACGTCTTCTTCTGCTGGCCGTCTCCTTCTCCCCCCGGCGAGGATCCCTGCTGCCGTCGTCATCGGCGTAGCACGACATATGAAAAGAATGATAACACTTTGATTAGCTAGCTGCTCTAATCATAGAGATCGAGATCAGGGGAGGGAGGTGAAACTTACTTTGTCACTCGGATCGAGCATTTTAAGGCGGGTGTAGTCAAGATCTAACAGGAACCCAGATCGGGAACGACTATGAGCTGAAATGAGAGGATGAAGATGGAGGAAGGGAACCCTAATCCATCTGCGATTTAATTTTCATGGGGGGTTGGGTCTCGGGTCTGGGTTTAGGGTGAATTAGGCTGGGTTGGTTCTTGGGTTGGGCGGGTAAGGCTGAGTTGGCGGGTCGGGTCGGGTCGTCTTTTTTTAATGTTTAAATGTGCTGACTGTGTCTTTCTGTTAGCCACGTCATCACTTAACGGTCGTCATTAACGGAGTCTAACGGAGGTTAACGGAGGTTAACGGAGAGTGACCGAACTTGGACTGTTCAACTAATTCGAGTGACTATAAATGGAATAAATCAATTCGGGTGGCAAACGTGAAATTTTTAAGCAATTCGGGTGACCAAACTTGCAATTAAGCCTTTTTTTCCGAGTTTAAGTGGATGCATGAAAATCGAAACATGTACGATTCAATTTGGATTGACGCCATAACATTTTATTTACAAAATTGACACCATCAACAGTATAATTTATAGCTGAAAAGTAAAACTGCACCCCCCATTCAAAATTTCCTGCCCATAGAGTGATTTTAGGAAGCTGATGTGGCAGAGTGTTAAGCGGGAAAAAAAAAAGAGTCCCGCCTGATTTCAGAACCAAAAAACTGTCCACTACCCACCTTTTTCTCCTTCCAAGCCCACGTTCTCATTTAATTTGTATTTATTTGCAAAACAACAAAATCCAGAGGCAAAGCTCCTTCCTCTTCCCCTTCGCATCAGTTCCTTTGTTTTTTTCGTCGGCAAAGGAAACTCGGGTATCAGGCGACGAAAGGGGAAGATCTAGGTTTCTGAGTTGCGACGGCCAGAGGTGGGGATTCCAATTTTGGTTCGTCGGTGAGCAAATTCAAAATCTCTTTTGTGTGACCTCGCCTATTGGGGCCTTCTCTACTCGGATTCTCCAGTTCCCGTTCTGGATTGCTCCCTGTTGATGGATATAGTCGACGACGCTATTCTCCAAGACTGAGTGAATGGCAACCGAGCAACAGCAAAAGGGGAACCAGCTAGAGGGCCACGCGCTCGATTTTGACGTCGAATAGTTCGCAATTCTGGTTGGAGAGGAACAAAGGACAAAGGAGGCTCGCTAACCAGTCACAACTTCATCTGTTGTCGGGATGTTCAGATCCGGTGCTATGAACTGTGGGCATGTCATTCGCTCACCTTCAGTCGATTTTATCTAACCTTTTTCTTTTGCGGGCTTTATTTGTTGTTGATTTCCATCGTGGTTCATTTTTCTATTCTTTTATGTTCAGTTTCTTATTGTTCCTTTTTTGTTGTGTTTCATTTTTTGTTTTGTTCTTTGTATTCTATTCTCC